GAAAGCAAAGGCAAGGGGGCAGTAATTCATTCACGATCTTCTGCAAGCGGGGAAAATATGCGTGCTTTCAGGGCGTTTCCTTCTACTTCTGAGGCTTTACCGTCCTCGTTTTCTCTGGTTTTGCTTTTTTCTTTTCTCCAGTAAAAATATCAAACTGTTGGAAAAAAAAATACGTGTGATGACCTGGCCTTTGCGGATTTTTGACCATGTTGATGGATTTCTCGGCTAATACTGTGGTATTGTATACCTCTACACCGTTGCGTTACTATGGGTTTGAGACCCTATAGCAAGATAGAGATTCAGCTAGGTTAACAATTCTACCCATATGACAACATGAACCTAACGAGTCCTTAATCAACTTCATATCAATCTCAGGTGCCGTAAAAATGTCCATTCTTAAAATTAACACCGCTATATAGTACTACACATGCCCATTAACGCCACGACAAATTTCCCAGGGCCGTCCCAGTAACAAATTGTAAATAAACTCCAGATCACATCTCATCGCCGGGTACTAGCAGGTGCCAGCCCAGGAACACCACTGTACCTCTCCTCACGCTCGGTCTTGAACAACAGCTGAATCCAAAATTCCTTGCTATCCTCGTCAAACCACGTCCACAGCTTCCCTTCTCTCCTATCAACCTCTCTCGCCTGCAACTTAAACCCGCACGTCTGATACGGTTCCGCAGCAACCAGCAAATACTGATAGTCCTTATCCGGCGGGTCATCCACTTTCTGCTCAAAGGCAGACATAAATCGTATCCTGGGCTTAACACCCGGCGTTATCTCCTGATACTGAAGCTGGAAGAGCAAACCATGCTGCCTCGTAAGCGGATCTCGGATCTTGGTGATTTTATACCCAGGCCGTCCGATCTTGACTGTGTTGCGCTTCACCTGTACGCCCATATTGCCCGCAGGCAAAGCACCGCCGGATCCGTCCTGCGCTCGGCCTTCTCTTTGCTCCCGTGCTGCGCGACGGGCTAAGTTGGTCTGATGTTTGCGCCCCTGCGTATGAGCGAGGTAGGAGCCGTCGTTTTGGTGGACAGTGAGACACAGTCGACACTCGAAGCTTCCGACATGGTTTTTGAAGAAGTAGGGGTCCTTTGCGAGGTCGATGTGTTCGAGTGCGAGCTTGCGGAGTCTTTCTCGTCTGTCTGCGTTGGTGGCGGAGTGCGACGCGACTCCGCCGCCGCCGAATTTGGAGCCTGCTCGATTCTGTAGAGATTAGGAGGTTAGTAGCTGGTTCGACTGTATTGGTCGGGTATAAGAGTATAGCGTACCTGGTAGTCCATTGCTGCTGCGTTGGTCGAAAGGCTGCTATCTCGAGTTTCTTTGCAGCTTTTTGGAGTTTGATAGAACAGTTTTGATGGAGCTTTTTCTTGGCTTGTGATTGGTGGATAGAGTTAACTCGTCAACTAGAGCAAACCACGCCCTAAGGAGGATCAAATCAATTTCAACAACTTCAAGCCCAAGAGGCAGCACTTATTATTGTTCCTGGTCGAAGACTTCGCATATATTTTGGACGTCTTATGGCAGTTTAAAGACATGACCATTTTCATTAGAGCTGCAATCTCCTTTGATGCTTGTCAGACAGAGGTTGCCTGTGCCTGTTATGCGAATCTACCAGCCCTCCCTACCCCCGGAACTTGAGGGAGTTGAATAACTATATCGTTCTGTAATCAACTCTACCACACGACTATTATCCCTATAGGGAATTCTATACAAGAGGGATGAACGGAGTATTATATACCTACTCCCTGAACAATACATTCCACGGAAAGACCATATTGATATACCCCCTTACAAAGTGTCAGCTAACGCTTCCTTAACGGTTCTTCCCGGAAGCATACTGTTATGGTGGCAGTTGAGGTCTAGTTGCGTCCTATGCTGCTTAAATGCTGACCGGCAAAGGCATGCCAATATTAATGTTAGGACCGACTTCAGATGTGGATGCGTGGGTTGGCAGGAATCTAACTATTTGGACATGATGAATAACCATGCATTGATCAGGACAAGTTGATATTGAATGATGAGTATTTAAACAACTCCAATTCATATAACTAAATTGGATGTGGGCCATAATATTTGATTTGTTAATCCGACTTTGTGGCAAGGATCATCGTAACTGTCCAAGAAAGCTGTAACTTTCTACCTTCCATGATTCTCGCCAGCTTCTCAAACATGCCCTGCTCGGTATCATCCGCTGGTACATCTGGGTATAGATGGTTCATATATCCTCGTATCCAGTCTATGTCTGCATACTGGCTGAGGATTGTCTCGTCGATTCTTCTCTCCACAACATCGTCCGGGTTCTCCTGAACCTGGACATCCTTAAATGCATCCTGGTGTGTTTTACCCACAGTAGGATGATATGCGTTCCAGTATATCCGGTGCACCCCAGCTTTCCATTCACTCTTGTCAAATTCAATTTCGGCCATTCGAAGCACCGTCACTCGCACCGCTCTCTCCAGATTTGCAAGCTTAGATTCTGGCGCGCCCGCTATTATCCGTGAGCTCCAATGGTCGAATAGCTCGTTAAAGGCATCCTGTGCGTCTGTTGAACCAACAAAGATGGGAATGACGCCATAATGCCATATTGCCAGAGTTCCTCCTGGCTTCAGGGCCTTCGATGCCGCCGTGACCACATCTTGAGGTTCTGCCCAGTGGATGGCTTCGGCCATGGTGATCATATCGACCCCAGCATCAGGCAGCCATGACATATCCTCCCCTGGATAACAGCCGAAACGAAACTTGTCTCCAGGGGATAGACGTTGCCTGGCTTGCTCGAGATAAAAGGCACTTGGATCGCTGGCCGCAACGGTGGTGAACTTCGTCGAAAGCTCCTCGGCAACAATTCCAGCCCCCGTCCCAGCGTCGTGCGCAAGGTTCCACTGGCCCCCATGGCTTTCATGGTATTGGTAGATCTCCGCATAGAGCTTGTCAGAATATGGTGGCCGATACTTGATGTAGCTATTGAAATCAAAAGTAGGTGAATCAAACATGACTACTGGAGGATATTCCGGAATAAACCCCAGTTTTCTATTGACTGTCTCGTTTCAATGATACCTTTCTATCCATTCAATGGTGGATGTAGTTGCAGCGATGATATATCGTATACCATTCGGCCAAAAGGTCGTACAGCTGATCGCTGCACCGCCATTAAGCCTCAATGGCTGATGCCACACTTGGCGTGGGGTAACAGAAACTAGTTAACTAGCAAGTTAGCCTAGGTATTCCTGGAAGATGACAGGCCGCTTAAATCTCAGTGCAGAGCTGCTATAGAGCATTTACTTAAAACCAGTGATCAAACCCCATGCTATGGAGAAGAACATATCAGGGACATAATCTGGCTTCCGGATGATTGCAAACCAACCATTGACGAGTATTTGATTGCTAGTAACTATCCATTGGGATAGTCCTACGGTTTTCAAGGGTCTGTCACGGCACTCGAGGAAAGGTATTACGTTGAAAAAGTTGGCCTTTCGCCTTAGGGCAGAATGAATTCTTTTGACCGTTGACACTATCTCGCATCAAGTACACAAAGAGATAATCAAAAGAAAGAGTGGCTAAGGCAAATGGATTCCAGCGGTATTCTAATGGATCATGGTGAGCAAAGCAGGGAGTACAGTGACAATATGTAAAGGGTACGCCAGGCATATTCCAGAAGGTAAGCAAAAAATCCCAACCTTTCAAAGTACATATCCCTAGATCCGTGTTAGCCTAAAAAAGTCCTAGTATCATACTATAAGGCTAGAAACAGTGAACGATATTGATTCAAAAGAAGTTAACTTACCAGCTTGTAGTAATCATTTCCTCTGCTTTGGCACAGGAATTGGTATATGAGTAATAACAAGGAAGAGTACCTCCGCCGAGATATAGCCGTATATTTTGAGCCGGAAGGTAGCCACGGTGTGTATAATAAGAAATAATATAAACTACAGGGTTCTTACTTTATAGAATATTTTGAAATATAAGGCATCCGGTATCTAGAGTAATCTAACTCCATATCTAGTAACTAGGTACAATATATGCAGGATTTGTGGTGCGAAAGTGAAGTCCAACATACTATCACCCATGAGCGGCATTTACATAGTTACATCTATTCGGCTAATGGCTCTATTGCTACGTACGGGGAAAGCATTTTTTTTCCACTAATTATGGGAGACTAATCTGGGAAAGGCTTTTATAGTCTAGACATCGTTTAATATTAATTGACTAGTTAGTTAAGGTTGAACCTTGACTAGTTGAAGGAACCAACCTAAAGAACAGCCATCAATGAACTTAATCTTTCTTATTTGGGTGACATAGTACGTATTGCTATAGAGGAAGTGAGCTCTAGTCCAAATCAAACATTCTGTAGCATATTCAGAACCTCGAGCACCTTGTCTGGCTAGATGTTACATGTTATCCATCGTTCGCAATGCTTCATTACGTCCCTAGTTATAGCTAATGCATGACATGCCACTTGGGGTCCGAATCATGATAACATGAGCACTTATAGCCAGGGAAAGCTTAGTTGGTCACACCCGAGCGTCTATCCAGCGTCAAGGCTCACGGATGGTGCTAGCATTGGGGATGACGATGTCATATTAGCTGATATGGGCGGTGGCCAGGGAGATGACATTTCTAAATTCCGTAGTGAGTGGCCAGATATCCCCGGCCGCCTGATACTCCAGGACCTGCCAGGAGTAATCGTGCAAGCAAAAACAAAGGCATTACATCCTTTAATTGAGCTGATGGAGCATGACTTCTTCAAAGGGCAGCCAATAAAAGGTAAAGGTGCCACCATGCGTTTGGGTATAAACAGGTGCTGACCTTCTTTTCAATCAGGGGCTCGAGCATATTTCATGCACTTCATCTTCCACAATTGGAGTGACGGAGATTCGCATCGGATACTGTCAGGATTAGTCATCCTCTTGTGTCTGTAGAACTCGCAGATGGCTCATGTTCCGTTGTGGACATGGGGCATAAGGCCTTTTTGTCCCATGGTCCTGTGGTCCATGTTCCAACAGATACTCGAGAACCTCACACTGGCAATGAATCCTGGATACAGCAAGCTTTTGATCCACGACCATGTCATTCCCGAAACAAAGGCCTACTGGGAAAGTACCAGCCTGGACCTTGTTATGATGGCCAACTTGGGAGGTATTGAGCGCACAACTACTGATTGGTACGCCATTTTGGAATCAGCAGGGCTGAAAATTGTTAACATATGGACTGGTCGACGTGGTATTGAGAGCTTTATTGAATGTAAACTCGCCTAAAAGGTGTGCCTATGTATGCCAGCATACATAAAAGCTGGTTGTGTAACTTTTATAAAGTAAAAGGAATTCGTCTATGTTAGTAAAACACAAATATCTTTGGAACCCCGCTGATAATAACAGAATAATCATTCGTGAAATATAATAAAATAAAACCCAGTTGCTCCTTATTTTTCACCTGTTCCAGACTTTTCACTTTCTTTTCGCACCCTTTCCTGCCTCCATTTCCCGCAGTACTGCCATTGCACCCATACCAGGGGTAAAAACAGTACGACAACACCAGTCAATATCAGAAAGGCGTTCCTTACTCTCACAGCCCCTATCAAGGGTTGAATCACACTCACTCCAGCTGCACCCACGAGACATCGAACAAGGTTGTTAGTTGCTGTTGCACTGGCTGAGCCGTTAGGGAAGCAGTCCACCAACATGGTCGAATTGATGTTAAAAATCGCGGTTGATGTGAAAGCAATCATGAATTGGAGACCCAAAGAGGCCACCAGGTTAGCAGCGAAATATCTCCTCAAGTCATTCAGCTCGAAACTAGGGCCGTAGAGAGCGACACATATGATGAAAGATAAACTGAAATAAGGCATAAATTGAAGCCGAGTGCGTTCAATAGGGAAGTCTGGTATGTTTTTTATGTTCACTGAGTCCGGCAGGCCATGCTGTATCTTGTATTCGGATTGGATTCGCTTGAAAGTTCGGTCTAACAGCCTTCCGGTAAATAGAGAACCAAGTACACATCCGGCTCCGTTGGGAAGGAAGCAAAGACCAATTTGCCATTGTGTTAGGCTAGGGAATGAGTGCAGTAGAACAGTAGTGGTTGACGATGTTACCATGCTCCAGAGTGTATAGATAAGAGAACCCCAGGCAAGGAGGACGAAGATGTCTTTTTGGAAGACATACGTCAGCGGAACAAGTGTACTTTTGAGTGATATGCGTGGAATTTTGGATGCGGGAGGTTCGCTGCCCTTGGTCTTGGCCCATGACTTAGGTGGCTGCAGGTAGTACAACCACGGTTTATGGAATCCACGGAGAGGAATGCTACCGTTTCCTGCTATCTTCCGTTGAGTTTCCGGTAAGAACACCAGTAACAACAGCAGGACGATAATGCTCTGGACAAAGAGGAGCCAGAAAATGCTTCTAAACCCCCATTTGCTGTTAAGCAGGCCACCAATAACGGGGCCAACGGCCTGTCCAATCATCCTACCAGCAGATTAGCAAAGCATTACTTCCCAGGAGAGTGACTATGTTCCAACGTACCGAATTCCAGCATTAGTCCCTACAAAGCCTCCTCTCTCTTCAGGGCAAGCCATATCCCCAATTACACCGACACTAATACTGATAGTTGCCGCAGAACCCAAAGCCTGCACGCCACGAAGTACAACCAGCATTGGAAAGTTAGCCGTAAAAGCCAGGGCGAGATTAGCGGCGGCATAAATGGTGAGGGTGATAACAAAAGTAATCCGGCGACCAGAGGTATCTGACATCGGGCCCCATATTGACGGGCTGATACCCTGAACTATCAGGTACACGGTGATTGTCAGAGCTACAAGCGAGGCACTAACATGTAGCTGCGACGATATGGTGTCTATGGCCGGGAAATATATGTTTGAGGAAAGAGGAGAGAATGCTCCTGCAATGGAGACTAGGAGAACGAGCTGCCATTTTTGACGGTGGGAAAAGATGTGGTATGCTGGCTCGGCCGATGTCTTGCTGGGGGTATTCTTTGCTGCAAGCTCGACATCCTCGTCACCGTTAGGATTCGTGAGAGTCAAGGCCGATGCGTGAGGAGCCTTATCCAAGGAGTTGCGAGCAGTCGACGGTGATAGTGGTGAAGGAGCCTCGCTTTTGGTATTGAAGAGTGTGATGGAGGAGAGGTTGCCGGCCTCTGCCTGACGCTCGAAGACCATGTTTCCCAAATCTCAATGCTCAGAGTTGCACACGGAAACACACTCTCTTTAGCTAACGATCGAGTATCCATGGGAAGGTGCACAGGCAGTTTATATATAAACCACTGGCTGAGCCATCCTTGGATGACGTTGCCCATGCAGACCTGGGTCAAGGAGTGTAAACACGTCGGCTCTCCACGACGAAACGCTTTCTCCCTGATTTCCCATGGGTATACTTTTTTCGCCGGGTGACACTGTTCGATAGCACGGCAAACGCACCACGCTGCCCAGTTAACTCTTTCCTCGAGCGCTTGCATTTTCGAAACATCCGCTGCTACCCAAACCTAGCATCGACGTTAATTCAAGCACGGGGCCTCTTGTGCTGCTGGAAAGCCGCCGGAACGTTTCTACACCATCGGCCACTGTTGCAGCAAAAGATGCAGTGTAATCAGTGCATATGGGCCATTTTTGGTATGGAAAGAGTCAAAGGGACACTTTTCAAGCTCAACAGGCCCCATAGCTACCGGCAAGTGCATGCATCGGTTCCCACCTGCGAGAAAGCCTCGCGCATCTCCATCCCCGTTCATCCGAAGATTAGAGCTCCGATTTTTTTATTTTTTTCAAACAGCCAGGAGTAACCATCGCTCTCCAAACGTGCGCGGCAGGGAGAGGCCAAGTGGAACAGGGTCTGGATGCGCTGCGCGTCCCCTGTAGGGCGGTTCGGCGTCTTTTGACAGCGGCGTACAAAGCTCAGCGTTTGAGATCTCGGCTTGAGCCTTGAGATGATCAGGGATCCGGCGGAGGCGCAGCGAGGTTCAACCTTCCAGATAAGGGTGAATCAAGCAGCCGATACGGAGTGGTTCTGATCGACATCTGCTCACAAAGCCTAGAATATCATGCTGGCCGCAGCAACAGGGCTACATACCTGGCCATTATTAACCAGTAGCCAACCATTCGCTCGTCGCCGTGGAATAATGGAATGTTTGTAGTAAAATTCCTGGCTAATTAGCACTGCTTCGTGAAACGTTTGTTAACTAGCGCTCTCCAGAACCAAAACCTGTCTATGTATTTACTCCGTAGGTTATAAGATAGTGTACGCGGCCATCCAAAACATGGCAGCGATCAACTAGAAGATGTCGGATTTCGATTCGCCCAATTGCTGAAAAGTTAAACTAACGAGTTAATCTGCTTACCTAAACACAGCCTAACCTACCTGCCTAACTGCATAGAGCAAGGTATTCTTCTTAGGGTAAAATTCTTTATTTTAACTGTATATCCTAAGCCACACCCTTCTATATCTATACTGTAATTCTTTTATATTGTCTAGTTATACTTATGGTATGGTAAGGGTTAGGAAGGCCCAGGTGGCTAAAGGTATAAGAATCCCGTATAAGAAAGGGTAAGAAGGTAAAGCAAAAGGAGATAGGTATAAGAGGTATGTAAATAGAATAAGGTAAGGTGTGGCTTCGGAGTACACAGATAAAAGAGAGAATCTTACTCTAAGAAGAATACTTTACTCTGTGTAGTTAGACAGGTGGATACGGTGGCATTTGGGTAAGTAGACCCCTCAAAAGGTGGCATTTCAGCAGTTAGGCAGATTTCAATTTCTCGGGGCGGATAACTCGTTAATGCGCTTCTTTTTCTTTTTGTTATTGTTTCTTCTTTTTTAGGAATCAGAGAAAAGGCCTTGCAAGAACTCAATGCCGACTATTCTCCAATGATATCCCAAGCATTTATCTACCCGCAGGGCTTGAAGATGCTGTGTACGGAGGTATCACGACTAGAAATGTCTGGAAGGGCATCATGGCGTCAACTGCTGAAGGGAACAGCGGCGGGATCGACAATCTCCCGAACATTCCAGGACCAGACTCAAGACTTGCATCTGCACAAGCTATGAACCTCTCTGCAGTCTCTCGTGACCATAGCGTGTCGTGGGCCACCATAAAACCACGTCCAGTGACACCCTCGATGATTCTGCACCAAAATGCCGATAAAGATATCCGTATCTTCGATTTTGTTGCTGTCGCTGGTTCCGTCGGGGCTATTTCATGTGCAAGGCAGTATTTCCTTTCGACGAATCGTCTCAGGAACGAAAACGGCATGCCGAGAACCAATCTCGTATACCCAACCCTGTCCGGGATGATCTACGCAAGGTAAAGATCATAAATAAGGACAGAGAAGACCAATCAGCACACAATTAAGCATCCCATGGTTCACAGCAGTTTCCAGGCGAGAGTCAGCTATCTGTCAAACCCTGCACAAGTCCACAAGCCAAGGAGGTTCCAGAGGCGATAAAGGGCCTGCCAAGTGGAATATGCACGTAATAGACTCCCGTAGATCCTCTCGTAGCCACAACAGGGGAGAAAAACAGCAATTGTATGTCGTTTCGACGTCATGTTTCGATTTCGCACGGTCAAACGTCGTCTTGGCCGAGATAAAACCGCCAAGTTATAACTAAGTTAGCTTAACTGAAGCGGCGACGGAAACCGCCAAATTAGGACTAGTCTGAGTAAGAAGTCTTATTCGTCTATCTTGAGGCTTAACTAAGTAGTTAAAGTTGACTACATCGAATTCACTGCATGATAAAACACACAATATTATATAAGACATGGCTAACAAGTCTGACATAGGCCAGGATACTACTGGTCAGTATACCATCGGGTCAAGATTGTCATTTGATGGCGCCCTTTGCACGGTTCGGTATATCGGACCTGTTCATGGCACCAAGGGCGAGTGGCTCGGCGTGGAATGGGATGAGCCAGACAGGGGCAAACACTCGGGAGCTCACAATGGCGTGAAATATTTTCAATGTAAAGATCAGCTCACTGCATGTATATGTAACAGTTGTCGATCTTTGACTGGTTAACAACTTTCATAGGCAGAAATAATCACCCAACAGCTGGCTCATTTGTCCGTCCAAGCAGACCATCAGACAAATCCCTAAGCTTCCTAGAAGGAGCTCACGAGAAATATGTTTCTGAGCTGCCAGTATTCCACTCTTCCTCTAAAGGAGACCGTGTTTTGGAAGATTATGTATCCAAGCCCATTGAAATCAGTGGAAAGATCGTGGAAGAGGTTGGGTTTGATGAGATTCGCAAGCAGCTTGCAACATTGCATGAGCTTCGGATTCTCATTCTCGATGGCCTGCGCATTAATGGGGTGCTGGCTGGGCCCGATGTATCTGATAATAGAGAAAAGGAGCTTGAGAAGATCAAGCACACTTGTCCAAAGGTTATGGAGCTTAATTTGAACCGCAATCTTATACGGAAGTGGTGCGAGATAGTCGATATCTGTGCTCAGCTGCCAGAATTGAAAATATTAAAATTAAAGTATACTACACTGTGTCTTCATCTTTACTGTTCTACGATACAGACTGACCAATTTATAGTGGAAACTTTTTTGAGGAAGTCAAGAATTGCCCTTCAGATACAATTTCCCCCACAGTCAATAGTCTATTCTTAGACTTTACTTTAATGGACTGGGAAGAGGTATGACTTTGCCTTATCTATCTCTGTATACTTCATTCGCTGACACTTTTCCAAGATTGCCATGGTATCCTGCAAATTTCCTTCACTAACTAGCCTATCGCTGGAGAACAACCAGTTAGCTTCTGCATCCGCTCCGCTATCAGCAATGATACAGGAGCTTTTACTGGACTTTAATGATTTCGAATCTCTGGACTCTTTAAGCCCTCTTATGGATTTACGCAAGCTTCGCCATCTTTCTCTTCGAAGAAATAAGATCAGTAAGATATATGCGTCAACACCCTCGGACTTGGTCTTTTCCCCAACCCTTGAATTTGTGGATGTATCATGCAACCAAATTTCATCCTGGAACTTCTTGGATGCTTTACAGAAAATATTCCCGGGCATGACACATTTACGAATTTCGGACAACCCTTTATATGCTCTTCCACCAGCTCCGACGAAAGTGACAGGATTACCTGAGGCTCGGATGACGGTGGATGAAGCTTTCATGCTGACCCTCTCACGGCTGTCTAATCTAAAGATTCTAAATTACGGCAAGATCACACCCCTTGATCGCCTCAATGGAGAATTATACTACCTCTCACTGATTCGAAAGGAGGTCCTTGCGCATCCTCCAAGTATGGAGCAGGCAATAATTACGTCACATCCACGATATAAAGAACTCTGCAAGATATACGAGGTGCCAGAGATTCAAAGAACGGAAAAGGACGAAGAGTCCAGAGATATAGACCCTCGTTCCTTAGCAGCACAATTGATAAAATTCAGGTTCCACCTGGCTGACTCTAGCAAGGGAGAAGGGAAAGCGGATACCCATGTTTTTGAGAAAGAGATACCGAAGTCATTCGACGTCTACCTAATCAAAGCTATCGTGGCTCGGCATTTCTCCTTGCCTGCACTGCGATTTAAACTGATATGGGAATCCGACGAATGGGACCCGGTAGAAAAGGGGACTGCAGAGGAAGATGAGTGGGATAGTGAGGATGAAGATGATGAAGATGAAGATACCCAGCCTATCAATGGCAAGCAAGTACGGCAAGCCAACAAGAGGGAGTTTGTTAGACGGGAGGAGGAGTTAACGGATTCTACTCGGGAAGTCAGCCACTGGTTTGCAAGCGACATCAAGGAAGCAAACGTCAGAGTAGAGCCTTCTTGATACCCGTTACTCACGAAATATTACCTTGCTTTAACATATCCCTTCTAATGGTCTACATCTAGAATGGGCATCCATCGTACGTAAATAATGTTAGATCTAGATAAGATAAGATAAGCTTTTGTGATGACTTCAAAACATTTTGCGCTGCCAAAAGCTGCAACTTGAACCAAAACTACTCGTCTATCTGAGATAATATAACGCGGCCAGAACATGGCAGAATACTGGAAATCTACAGTGAGTTTTACTCTTTCGCTCTGATAGTAATATGTAGCTAACATTATTCTTTTTAGCCGAAATACTGGTGTAAGCACTGCAAGGTCTTCGTTCGCGATACACCCTACGAACGAACTCAGCATGAAGCTACAGGAAAGCATCAAGGCAGCCTAAAACGGTTTTTACGAGATATACACAGAGACCAAGAACGAGGGGAAAAAGAAAGCCAAAAGGCAAAAAGCGAAATCGAGCGACTGAGAGGAATAGTATCCAACCCCGGTTCGTCGACGGGAGCCAAACGAGCACAAAACGACCCACCATGGAGGAAAGCGACAGCTACGGGAGCGAATACTACAGGCTTGACACAAGATCGGATGCAACAGGTGGCACAACTGGCAGAAATGGGAGTTGCAGTTCCTGAGGAATTTAGGCCGAGTATGGCATTGGCTGGAGACTGGAAGGTTGTCTCGGAGACGCCGATAGAAGAACACACTGATGAGACTACCGTTAAAAATATTGGCGTTCGAAAACGAAAACTGAGAGAGGATGAGCAGGAAGAAGCAGATATGCAGCAGGAAGTTGTGAGAAAATCCTGGGGGTCAGCGATTCGCGAGTATCGGGCCAGTGAGGATGACTCGGCTGACCTTGATGCGCTTTTGAATATGACGACGAACGTGAAGAAGGTTAAAGCAGAAGCCAAAGTGGATCCTGAGTCTAGAGATGCACAGGAACCTGCTGTGAAAAAAGAAGAAGATGCTGAAGATGACAGAGCTAATGCGCCTGTCAAGGATGAGGATATACCGCTCAACATCAAACAGGAAGAGACAGTCGCGAGGGACGAGGCAGAGAATTCTCCTCCGGCTGTCATGTTTAAGAAGCGGAAGCCGAAAAATATAAAACGGTAACATATGCTTGTCTATAACACCACTTGTTTCCTAATCTCAGAGTGAATCCTTGGCTTTTGGAGGGCATGACTATATATCTGAGTAGCTATACAGTCAAGTCCTTATCAAATTCTATCTATAGCTACTGATATCTATACTCTGATTTGATAGCTGTGTATAAAGAAGGCAGCAGGCATAGCGTTAGCTATTTACCTTATAGAATATGTATATTAAGCTATAACAACGCCATCTACCCAGGTAATATGCCAAACCACGGTTAGTTTCCAATATATTAATCTGACCGAGTAGTTTATCTTCATGTCGAGATATAGTCATCGCCAAGCTTGGCATCGCCACTCTCATTTTTCTTAGTTGATATCAAAGACTTGAGCCGCTTGAAAACATCTCGAGTCGCAACCAGCCTTTTGTGCAGACACAATCAGAGCAGAGTGAGCTGAGAGCACAGCCAGAGCGATCTTGTTGACCTGGTAAGTCAAGGTATCCAACTGCGCCCCAGAAAGCATTGGTGTCTTCTTTATCTTCTTTATCTCCAGGATACATTGCAATCACATCTTTTCCTTTCTATGACCAAATTGGTCTTGTCTGGACCCTTCCCTAGCTCAGAATCCCGTGTGGAACTGCGTGATAAGGCTTAAGTGCTATATCATACTGCCTATGGATGATGTCTGCAGCTCTAGCAGTGGCGGAAGGTTCCTAGGTCTGGCCAGCTATGGCTGCTCTGTGACCTTTAACCACTTTCATCGCGAGGGCCTCCGATATTTATAATAACATCACTATTCTCTGCATAATTGGCAAGGCTACATATCTGACGGGAGACTGTCTGGTTACTGCTTGCTCTGCTGGATGGGATGTGGCTTCAACTATACGCATTTCTCCAACACCCAGCTCTCTATCCTCGAGTCGATGAAGGCGAAGCAAGAGACAAATATGGAGTCAGCTGCTAACTGCCAGCTTGTACAGATTAATTATCCGTCGTGGAATACTATTTATCGATGCCCTCATCGCGAATCCTATCGAAGAGTTACCGAATGACTCTGTAACCAGACAGACGATGCGGAAGATTAAACAATTGATCGCATTTCGATAAAGCCACTGATCCCAAACCCGAGCCAGCCATAAGTTATATTTGGACGAAGAATAATCATGACAGACGGCGAAACACCATCAGGCTCGGCGTCAGCCCCAGCGACGACCACAGATGCCTCAGCAGAAGCTCAAACTCCTACGCAGGGCGAGCAATCTGCCACTACCCACGCCAACGGCCAGTCAAATACCACTTCAGAAGGATCGCAACACATATCAGCTGTAGATAACAGCTTGAACCAGCCTCCCGCGACCTCAAACCCTCCGCCACAGCCATCCGTAACGCAGACAGAAGCGCCGGATCCCGTATATCAGCTGGCGGCCGCAAACTCGGCGCTGGATGCCTCCCAGTCAGGAGCTGTTGACCATGCTGTACAGCTTCAAGCCCTACAGCAATTCAACAATGATCAGGGGCCTTTCGACTCCAATACTAACTCAGCCCCTCATGGCGCACCAGCTTCTGTTCCTCCAACAGCCCCAGCTCCAGCAGCCCCAGCTCCCGTAACTCATATCACTCAGTATTACGGCGAAATCCCAGCCGGAGGCTTCTCAGATGGCTTCGAACTGGTAACAGACGAGAGCGCCGCGAACCGCATGAAGAGAGATGTCAAGCGAAGGACAAAAACAGGCTGCCTTACGTGCAGGAAGCGCCGAATAAAGGTAAGAATCTGCTATCCCATGTTAGCCAAAGCAATTGTCGCATGAAGATACGCCCTTCAAAGGAACATAATCCGTTTGTTTCTCGATGTCCTCTGTGGTTTGTTGCTGGAGGGAATGTTTTTTTCTTTTCTTTGCCTTGCTGGGGGGTTTTTTTTTTTGCTCCTCTGGTCCCCGCGTCTGCAGCTCGCTTAGCATCAAAAAAAACGAAAACTCCCAGAAACCCCCATCTCAACACCCAAATTGACATCGCAACCAGCAGCACCAGCAGCCTTGTTCATGTTCCAGTCCTTTTTTGCGCCAGGTCGCTGCTTGTGACAATATCTTACTTCCGACTTTTCATTCTTCGTTTTATTTTCCTTTGTCGTGGTCAATTTCGACCGTGTTATCGCACTTATACCCACCTACGAGTCGCAAATTTGATAGATCCATACTGAGAATTGATACAGTGCGACGAACGGCATCCTGTGTGTCGAAATTGCGAGAAGAGTAAACGGGATTGTCTGGGGTACGACCCGGTGTTTAGAAGCCAGCCAGGCCCCTCTTCGCTACAGCCGGCGCCGACAGCACATCCCTCCCTTCAAGTTGCGCCCCAGAACCCTCATCAGGCTACCGGTCTCAACCAAGCGTATCTTCCTAACAACAGTACGGCGCATTCTGTTTCTCCATCTATCAATACAGGTTCATCGGCATCACCCCCCCAGGACAAGCTCGACTTTGGCACTGAACCGGAGCCTACTCCCATAGCAGCAGCTCAGCCGGCACAGACTGCACCAGCTGCACCAGCCGCACCCGTCACAGCCCCAACTGCGCAATCGAGAAGTGTTACCCCTAGAGTTGCTGAAGGCCACCCACTAATTGCTGCGTCGACAACATTGCCTAATTCGGAAAAGATGGAACGTAAGTTATAACCCTACTTCATCATGCAAACATGAACGCCATATATGTTAACATGAGCTATAGCGAGACAACCGAAAATGAGTGAACTACTAGCAATTGGTGGATTTGCGTTACCAGAAGTTGATACCAATCCTCTCTCGCCTACCAAACTAGAAGAGGTAAAGATGCTGTACAGGATCTATGCCCAAGGAATGGACCGGCTGCTTGAATGTAACTGGTACGACACGCACGGACTAACCCAATTACTTGGAAGCCCTCGTCTGCTGTCTCTGTACTCTTCTCTTCTCGACGGTTTCACCGATCCAAACATAAACGATGCTCCGGTAATTGCTCGTATGGAATCGTTCGAAAGCAATGTCATATGGGAAAGTCTTTGCCTATGCCGTGCAGCTCGGGCCCAGGAGCCGACTAATGGAACCGACACTTCAGACTCGACAGATCCGCAACTCATATATGCTGTTAAGCGCCTATCTCTTCTTGAAGCCTTACTTACAGGAACTGTTCTTGAAAACAATCCCGTTTCTCGTCACAACTATCCGGAAGATGACCCTGCTGTCACCACATCTGGGCTGAACACACAGATCAAGAACCGCCAACTGGGATTCTGGGAGTCGATGGGCGATTACCTGTCAATTCCGGACAATGAGCCAGATGCGAGCGACAAACGGGACAAAGCTCTCTTCGCGGCCCGCGCGTTCCTTGATATGATTGAAAGCCGTGATGTCGTGTACTCTATTGCCGTTGTCAGGAACATTTCTAAATTCCAACCCCGAAAGTTTAAACTTCCTGTTGCCTCAGATGAGAAGGATCCCGCTGCAAAGCTATATGTAGCATGTCGATTCCTTGAGGATGAAGTACGCGGGAAGGCGACTAACCAGGTCACTCGGCGTATCTCTCAGCTAACGGTCAGATATTGGGACGAACCCTACAACGTCTAATTATACAACCACGGCCCTTTGCCATTATCATATTGAGACTTCATCCCACCATTTGTTTCTTCCCACGGCTGTTCTGAATGTGCGTTTTCGTTTCATATTTTTGTTTATAGTGTCTCATTCGCGGCGTTTAAGAGAAGGCTTTATGGGGGATATCCAGGATAACACGGGACCGGCTGGAGCTTTGTATGATATTTTTGGCCTGCTTTCTCCCTATACCAAGAAATGTTACAGTCACTTGGCCATTAGACTAGTGCACGATGTATTCGAAAGACATTGACCTGATCAATTTTATGAGATAAACTACTTTATTTTTTTTTTTCTTTTTCTTTGGTTGCCAGACATCATCATGCGCTTGTTGAGTCACCTCCCATTCACCCAGTCTAGTAAGTGTCTCCATCTATACTTCTCTAGATAAACGAGTGTACCTCTGATCAATGCCCCATAAAACCAACAACCCACTGCTCTAAAGCCTTGCCTGTTCAGGGACAGGGGATCGTAATTTTCCTGTCTCTATCGCTTGTCTAACATTGCTAATCGCCCACTCCTCCATCCCCGTTTGAGTCTGTTTATGAGCTTGTTAGCCTCCACCCAACAACTACTAGCATTCAAACAAAAGGCAACTTACTTCAACGCTCCAGGTGCCCATATGTGGAACAAGGATCACATTGGGATTCCTGAGCAATCCTGGGTGGATTTTTGGCTCGTTTTCAAAAACATCGAGCCCTGCGGAGGTTACCCTTCCGCTTTCGAGTGCCATAACAAGAGCTTCTTCGTCAAGAACCGGCCCGCGAGCAGTGTTCACTATAATAATGCCCTTCTTCATCTTGTTGAATTCCGCATAACTGATGATGTGTCTTGTGTTTTTCTGCAAGGGGGGCATGGTTAGCTAGACGAAGTACCCTGCACTGTGGCCGTATGCTACGAGCAGGGTATTGAGTGATAGTAGGAATGTAAGGCCAGGGATAGAAAAAAGATGTAGGATCAGGAATGAAACGTACGTTCAGGGGCAAGTTCAAGCTTAAAACATCGCTTTGGGCAAGAAGTTCATCAAAGGATACATATTTTGCTCCCCCGGCTAACTCTTCACTCAGTTGGTTGCGATTATGGTAAATAACGCTCATTCCAAAGGCTTCAGCCTTCTTCTTGAGGTTACGTCCAATGCCTCCCATGCCGAGAATACCGAGTACTTTCCCCTGCGGATCGTGTCCAAGGGCAATTGGCTCGGGGGAACCCTTCCATTTGCCGGCTCGCAGGTTCTGCATACCGGCATTGAAATTGCGAAGAGCCCCGATAATTAAGAACATGCTAACATCGGCCGTGGACTCATCTACAGCTGTAGGCACATTGGAGACCCGCAGCGGTGGTGATCGAGCGCTGCAAGCCGCGACATCTACTTGGTCATACCCGGAGCCTGGTCGAGCCTGTCAGTATAACCATGTATTTTCAGGGGGGTTCATACAGCCCAGATGCATCGTTATCATACCACAGTGGGCTAGGAACTCCATGGACTTTGGTAAAGCTTCCACCAATTCCTGGTCAATCAGGCCCGTGATCGAGACAGACCCGAAAGTCCGATAGGCCACCCGCACTCCATCGAGTTTGCCATCACGGCATTCCTGAAGGAACTCAGCTCGATTGGTGGCTTTGGGCGTTACAAGCTCTCCGATATTGGAAAGGTTTCGCCATGTGTCATGAGCACTTTATATTCGCGGGCTCTGTGCCACTCCGTCCCCCACTCATGGGGAGAAGAAGGGCCCGGAGCCATCCAAGTTAGTGCATAGGTACAAAGATAGTAACTGACGGATACGTGTCCGTGATGTATTTCATCGGCACGCCATACATATAATACCAGGGGTAAATAAGGACGGGAAGCCGTTGGTGCATATAAGGTAGCCCGTACATATAATACGACGTACGCATATGCAGGGACGGAAGACAGGCCTGCTCTTTGACGCATATCAAAAGCAGATATGGCCGAGGGGAATAACGGATTCAGGGAATTTTAACGAGGGAATTAAAGCTGCAACGTACCGATCGATTTCTCCTAGCAGGAGGATTTTCGGCTTCTCAGCTGATGTCATCGTCGGTTCAACGCTCCGTCGTCTGATTGCGGTATAAAACCCCTGGGCCAAAACTTCTGCCGGCGACGGGAACTATAGAAGCGTCTGTCTGCGTGGTCTAAGAGACTTTGCCAATAGAACAGGCCTGGTTGTTAATCAAGTTAGGAAGCCCAGCATCAGGATCTCGAGCGTTGATATATATAAATATCATCTGGCTGTCGTGGGGTGGCTCCATAAAACGATTTGTGGATCAACTTAAATAATCGCGGCCAAATCGAATCAAGAAGAATCATCTCTCCAGCAGCTCATTTCCTGACTGGCTCAGCGCTGTTCAGACTTGATTGTATCAACCGTCTCGCTCTGCTCCAGAATTCGGCCGAGTCAGTAACTAATTCTTCGTCGATGTGGAATAGTTATAGTTATTATTTCTTGCAGCAAACCCAGTAGTTTGCTGCTCATTCGAGCTTATTTGCGTGTACCGCTCTTCGGCGCACCGGAAGCACGCCAAAAAGGGGCTCCCCATCAGGCAAATAACGGTCGATAGTTGTTGATATTATAAGAATTTGGATTTGATCTGGCGAGAGGCGTTTAACAACCCCGGAAAAGCTGAATAACTAACTGCATTGTGTAGCTTAATGTATGTTGACCGTTTATTCTCTGTTGACATGAAGGCGTCTGCCATGCCGTGCAACTTTAGGCCTGTAGATCTTCATTTAGTGAGGATGGGACCCGCCAGATCAAATCTCACGGATGGGTTTGGGCGGAAGGGGGTCCGACGTTGAACACGGCGTTCTCCGTGAGTATAAGGATCCCCAGTACCCATGATTCGATTGATTGAAACATGTATCATCACATCATCACATATAAGCTGAATGGCTGCATGAAAATTGCCACCCGAGAAGGGGATTGCATATATCACTCCTCAGTCAATACTCTAGTCCAGTCGAACTTTTTCCAGCGCTTCTTGAATCCGTCAACCCTTCTGTCAGTGCCGCTACGCCACCTCCCTTGCCGCTTGATCACCTCAGGGCCCAGGTCGAGCATGCCTCCAATAATCTCTCGAGCAAAGAGATCCCCTTTTGGCCATCTGTTAGGGTCTTCAACCACATGTCCTAACCCGCCATCAAGCTCAAACCAAACGTGGAAATAGGGCATTTCCTTCGCTAGTGTGTTGCGGAACGCAAGCTTTCCGCCGCCTTGTCGGGCTTTGGCAAGTGTGTCAATGACCTTTTTATGCTGAGTCCATTCCTCGTCCGCGGAGAGAATTGCTTCCCTGAAGAACGCTGGGGCAGTTTCTCCGAGACTATACGGCAATGGTACGGCTTCCATGGCTGCGTGTCGTTTCTGACCGGGCCGGGCTGCATTCTCGTAAAAAATAACGTCTCGTCCCTGGTCGTGATACAACCTTGTTAGACATTTCATAAAGTTCCGGATCTCCTCCCACTCATCATCGTCACATTCTAAGAGGTTAGTCCGGTGTTGGATGGGTACGATGCATGTACTCCCTTCATTTAGCTCAGGCTCCGTTGGAAGGGTGAGGTAAACACGAGTTCCCAACGATACCACCGGCGCAAGGGGAGGCTTCCCAGTGTCCTCGTGGTGGCACAAGGGACAGTTATCCAGAATGCGATTCATCTTCTGGAATTCACTTATTGATGCGTTTTTAAGGTTAATTTCTGACTTGTGGACTCGTTTCGCAAGCTTGGAAGCATTCTCATCCATATAATCAAGATCGTTCTATATCCAATTAGCATTTATAAACCATATATCACATAGAGAGTTACGGGAACTCACATCAAATTTAGCATCTTTGGCAATTCTTTCGGCAAATCGTTGCCCTTCTCCTGCGCCTCCGCGGTTTCTGCGTTCTTCACGGACCATATCTTCGATGGTCATATCCTCATTTTCTTCTACCTGGCCTCTCTCTCTACCACGTTTGGTTTCGACCGCACGTACTTCAGCCCGGTTGCCCCCAGCCAACATGCGATTGTCCATGACCCCCAGGACGACGATATCCGCTTCTTTTCTGTTTGCCGCTCCGGAAACGGCTGCATTGTACTGGGCTTCTAACTCAGCTGCATCCGATGCACCTCTTAGCTTCGCCTTCATCATCTGGGCCTTTAACTTGTTTAGAGCGCTAGCATCTAGCGCTGTGGTCTCCCGCGGAGCTGATTCTGTTTTCACCGGTTCTCCTTGTGCAGAGGGTTCAAGCTCCGCGGCTGGTATTGCGCTATCATTTCTCCTAGTTGGCTCCATGTCCAACTTTCGGGCTTTAAACAGTTCCCCGGAGGGTTTCTCCTTTCCAAGGTAATCCTTTCCGTATCTCTCTCTCCGGTCGAGTTCAATTTCTTCTTCCCTGGCATTGTCAAAGAATCGTAGATCACCATATCGTTCCAGAGCAACTTCGTCAACTGTTTTCCCACTTTCATTCGCCTGTCGGTAGACCGCTTTGAGTTTCGTCATTCGCCATTGTGATCCCTCGTCTCCAAATGTGTAGTCCACCTCCACTGGATCACTTTTCCGTGTAGTATCAGCGTCCTCCGCAACGTCAAGAAGATGGCGATTCAGCTCTTTTTCATGCAATTTCTGCCCAAAGTCGACTTGAAGCATCCGAGCTGCTGGTGTTTCCTGTGGCTTCTCCTTTGGCCGGTGTATATAATCAATATCTTGAGCTGAAGGCCCTTCCATCCAGGAGTCCCTCTGAAGCTTAGCTCTCGTCTCCGATTCTACAGCAGGTTCTTGTGGCTCTTCTTTCGTATTATCTCTGTCAGCACTTCTGCTTCGGTTTCTGTCTCCATCTCGGTCTCGATGGCGTCGTTTGTGCCGATGCTCTCTCTCCTCGCCGTTGCTCGTTGAATGCCGAGATCGCTTATGCCTGCGTCTTTCATCGTCGTCTTCATCCTCCTCTCGGCGGCCATGTCTACCATGCGGAGAGCGATGCCGGTGGTGGTGTCGATGGGAGCGGTGCTTGGAATCTTCGTCGCGGTCACGGTCACTGCGGTGTCGATGTCTTCGTCTCGATCTTTCATGCTCTCTCTCTTCTCTTTCTCTCTCTTTTCTGTTATTCTCCGCCAGCTCTCGCTCAAAGTCTTCCAGCGTCATTGTGTTCTGGGGAGAAATTGGTTGTATGTGTTGAAGTTTGTAGATTGCTTCGATAGCTAGCTCGCAAGATTTAATCTGGAGCTTTGAGATGACGTCGCGGATCAACCAAATTTTGTTCTAAATCTTTTTCTTTTTGGCCAAAATTTTGACAACCTCGAAACAACAGCTCCTATTGCGCTTGATCACAGCCATAGCACCAGGTGTCTTCCTCTTTCTTCATATTAGGGAATACCAGGACCTGTTTTATTACCTTTGACAACCCTTCTTCTGTTGGATTTCGCTTCATTGACCAGATTGCAACCATGGCAGCCCCGCCTGTCGCAGTTGTCTGCGTCGGGATGGCAGGTAGACCAGCTCTCTCTTTCTGATAAATAAGGCAGTTGTGCTGCTTATGACGGGAAACTAATGGTTGAGTTACTGTATAGGATCCGGGAAGACGACGTTCATGCAGAGAATCAACTCCTACCTGTACAGCCAAAAGAAGCCTCCGTACGTAATGAACCTCGACCCAGCAGTACATTCAGTTCCGTTCGAGAGCAACATCGACATAAGAGACTCAATAAACTACAAGGAGGTCATGAAGCAGTACAATCTTGGACCAAATGGCGGCATCCTGACTTCTCTAAACTTGTTCGCCACGAAAATTGATCAGATAATGGGAATCCTGGAAAAGCGCGCATTGCAGGCCGTCACCCCAGAACAGCCTGCAGCTCCAAAGCGAATGGAGCATATACTTGTGGATACGCCCGGCCAGATAGAAGTGTTTGTATGGAGTGCATCAGGAAGTATACTGCTGGAGTCACTGGCATCGTCGTTCCCTACCGTGATTGCATATATTATTGATACCCCACGGACAAGCTCGACGAGCACGTTTATGAGCAATATGCTTTATGCCTGCAGCATTTTATACAAGACAAAACTACCGATGATTCTAGTTTTTAATAAGACAGACGTGAAAGATGCCGACTTTGCAAAGGAATGGATGACCGATTTTGAAAAGTTCCAGGCTGCTCTAGCCGAGGAGGAACAACATGGTGCCTTTGGCGGCGGTGAAGGTGGTTCTGGAGGTGTTGGAGGTGGAAGCGGATATATGGGCTCATTCTTGAACAGTATGAGCCTGATGCTCGAAGAATTTTATCACCATTTGAGTGTGGTGGGAGTCAGCTCCATGACGGGAGACGGAGTAGACGACTTTTTCGCTGCAGTAGAGGAAAAGCGCAAAGAGTTTGACCGTGACTATAAGCCCGAGCTTGAGAGGAAGAGGGAACAGAGGGAGAAAGAGAAGCTGGAGAGACGGGATGTTGAGCTGGGAAAGCTGTTGAAGGACATGAATGTTTCTGGCCGCCCAGCTTCGTCAAAGGATAAAGCGGACCAAATTGAGACCATCTCTGATGCAGAAGATGATGACGATGAGGATGAGGATGAACGACCTAACCAGCGAGACGATGCCGGACTCTCACAGCGGTATAGCAATGCCCTGGCTGATTCAGGAGATGGTCAAGCCGGCGAAGATAGCAGTTTTGCACGGTACCTAAAATCATCCAATCTGGGATAGTTATGATGGAAAATATGTATTTTTTTTTTCTTGTCATCAGATACCTTGTATGGTGTAATGATTGCATGTTTATTTCGTTTCTCCCTTTTCTACAGGATACCTAAACATACATGAATATTGTTATTCATATAACTTTAGCTAGGCTTCTCGTAATACTATATCAAGGATAAGTGGTAGCCAGGCGGTAAAAATGACTGAAGATCGGTTTGAGTCTACCGGAATAGAGAGGAAATCTCCTGCGCTCGGTGGGCTTGGTTCCATCTGAAGCCCTTTGCCTGCCTCCTTTCTCTTCCCGTCAGATAGAGGAACTCCTTCAGAGTCTTGAAAATGTTATAGATGAAGTCACCTGTTTAAGCCGTTTCATAATTGAATGTTCAACACCTCGCACTGGATTGGTGCGGAAGTATGTAGACTGCCCTCATCTCACCTTCGATTTTGTAGATCTCCAGTTCCCCTAGACCAGCTCCTCGACTATGGTTCTTCCTCCGGATAGAAATCAGCCAGTTCCTAAAGTCGGTATAAGAGTGTGAAGCCAAGTAAAACTGAGATTTCACTCGTCCTAGTTGCTTTAGTCCTTCATGATGGTGATTCGAACGGTTATTGTAATACTAGCACTGAAAGCCTGGATATTGATAGTACTGTAGCAAGGTTGTGCAGTTTTTTGGTAGTCAAGTGCTCGAAATACGCATGCTTTCCCGCACCCTCGACTGGAGGACGCAGTAACGATCAAGATTGGTCAATTTGATGAACTTGATGCTGCTTGAGCTTGATAGAACTTGACGGATCTTTAACAAAATGTAGCAGATGTGAGCTGACTAATCTGTAACTAACTAGTTAACTTCCACATGACGTCATCACCTTTTTATCTGATGAAGAGCAAGAAAAGCCGAAGCAACAAACAGCAACAAAACAACAGAAACGAATTCCTCTGTACACGACGGCATATCACAGCCATAACGCCCCGAATCTCTTCAATTAAGCAGTATATATACCGGTTTACCCGATTATGGATGTTAGTGGCCTCTTGGAAATTGCACTTTCAAGTTGGACTGCCCCTCCCCCGCTGACATTGGACACCAGGGCTTCTATCCGTACTCATATGGCACATTTGCCTGGCTGGCCCTCCAGGGCACCGCTCTCCTGTTTACTCCGAAGCTCATCATAACTACACTGGTTGACGAGACCCGGCAGCCTACACGTAAGACTAAGCCGTTGATTATCCCCCACTGTCTAGCTATTTCAAACTCAACATGTGCTGACTCTGGGTGGAATCTGCCTAGCACTCGAGATATACTTTGCCAGGAGCTGCGGAATAGGCCAGGTATCGCTAGCCTTGATATTTCTGGTCCTGACTGGTGCATTACCACTCGCTTCTTCGTACTCAATCACTGCAGACGAGTCCGACCCCAAAAAAGAATATGCTTTCCCGATGCTCCTGATCAGCTCTGGCTTTCATGCAGTGGTAGCTGGCTACACATACTCATGGTATTCTGGCACAGGACAGATGGGCTTTGCAGCCGGGATGCTGGCGTCAGGATTCTTGGCTGCCATGGGACTCTGGTGCATGCTGTTTGCCGGGTCGAGCAGGATCAGTAAGAGGACTGGTGCTGACAAAAGGACGTCTGGGTTCCCTTTCAAGAACGTAGAGGCGGATAAGAGGAAGAAGAGGTGATTTCTGATGTATCTCTATAGCGTCTGCTTGATTAACTAGCTAGAGCTGCCAATGTTGCTCGTTCTCGATAACTGCCTTCACATCCTAGCTGGTCCTCTGCCTCCGCCTCCTATCCTGCAACTTCTGCCGTTGCCACTGTAGTTAGTCCATCTACTACTCATATACTATACAACCTACCCCTACACAGCCATGCCAGCCCGTATCTTCCCCCTTCTGGAGTCTATATGGTCGTCCGTCCCAAGAAAATAAACGTTTTAAGCATAACCAGCTGGCCCGGCTTGGCGTCCCACCCGCGCGAAGACGAGAAGCCCAGCAAGAAAAAAAGTCACGCCGCTTCAACTGCGCCGCACAGCTTTGCCCGCAGCCAGCAGCAGTCCACCCTCTGAAACGCTGCAGAATCCATCGCCAGTTTAGCCAGCGCCAGCTCCATCGTCACCATGGCAGACACCGGGCCGAGCAAGCTGTCTGGCCCCCACGACCTGCGCGACCAGCACGCGACAGCACCGCCCACCGATCCAGAGCTCGAGTCACAGCTTCACAGTCTCAATGCCGTCCAGTCGCTCGCCTCGCCGGTTGTCGACTCGTTACAGCAGCATCAGCATCAGCAGCAGCAGCAACAACAACAAACATCCGGAAGAGGCATATCGTCACGAGGGGCGTTCGACGCGGATTTGAACAATGCAGCAGAAGGACACCTCCCGCCAGCAGTACGATCTGCCGGTCATGGCCTGGAGCAGATCGAGCAGATGGACCAGGTTGACATCGCCTTCCCTAGTGACGGCATGGTGTTGAGCACGCCGCATGATGCCAGACTCTCACAGCACCCGGACGACGTTGCTGGCCATCAATTTGTATCGCCGACGAACAATGACATGCAGTTCTCACCGTTTACCCAGCAACACCTGCCACAGAACATGATACCCCATTTCCAGTCCCCAGGTCAGGCAGACATGTCTCAGGGGGGCAGCAGTCACGCCGGCGAAGGCCATTTCAAGAATATGAAATGCATACCTAACCCGCCGGACCTCCAGAAATGGAGGGAGAAGCTGTTTAACGTGGAGGACACGATTGTCTTGAGCGAAGAGGAGTATGTGGTACTATATCACCCTTGTGTGAATCCAGTGGTTAACTTCTCCTAGGTTCCAAACATATTTCCCCCATGTAGATAATGTCTACTCCCACCGGTCCACCCAAAGATACAAGCGCAAACCCTTTATATCCCATTACTGGGACTGTCGGCTAAAAGGACGCCCACCAGGGACCCCAAAGACCCATGACCCCAATAAGAAGAAGCGAAAGAGAACCGCTCGAGAGCGTAATCTATGCGACGTCAAGATAAAGATCACGGAATACTTTCCTGGCGCCATAAATAGCTCCCAGGATATTCCTTCGGGGTTCGAACAACCTTCCCAGGCTTCTTCACCGTCTGATCTCCTGGTAGTACCTGGCTCATCGAACTCAAATCTAGACGGGTCTCAGCCTTTCGGCGTACTAACACCCAGTGCAACCCTGCCACCAGGCCATCCTGGCGTGGCCGGGGCTCGATATTACACAATTCAACGTGTAAATGGGAATGGGGGGAATGGAAGATCAGACTCCGTCGAAGGCCCACATCGGCATACACTTGAAGAAAGTGACCGGATCAAGAAGAATAGCGTGCAGAGGAACCTACTAAAGGAGGAGAAGGACAAGAAGAAGTCAACTGTACGTCAATGTATTCCTTAGAAATCACCCCGAATCCTCCGTTTTTGGCTGTTAACAAATATGTGTAGACTCAGCAAAAATCATACCATAGCCGTGCATCTGGATATGCATACTCCACTGTGAAAAAACATGCAAAGGAGAGCGACTTGAAGCTGTATGGCAGCTGTTTCTGGTATGTTTTCCCTGTATCCATTGATTGCAAGACTGGCGAATTAACGGCTAGCCATTAGTCCCTTTGTACAGAGGGTATGGATTGCCCTCGAGGTCAAGGGAATACCATATCAGTACATTGAAATCGACCCATACAAGCAACCAGACTCTCTACTTGAAGTCAACCCTCGTGGCCTGGTGCCAGCCATTCGACATGGAAACTGGGGATGCTATGAAAGCAGTGTTCTTCTTGAATATGTAAGCCACTTTTAGCCTTCTTGACTTGAGATTCCTATGTATTAACCAGCATGCTTCTATTAGCTTGAGGATTTAGATATTGGTAAACCCTTGTTACCTCCAGGAGATCCACAGCTTCGTGCACATTGCCGTCTATGGGCAGACCATGTACGTATACACATTTTTGTCATTAATTCTCCATATCTTAAAACTAACCATGTCGCATCTTAGATAAACCGCCATATAATACCCTGCTTTTACCGGCTGCTGCAAGAACAAGACCCAGGGAAGCAAATTACGATCACTGAACTACTAAAGGACCATATAAGCAAACTTGTCAACGCCTCACATGTCCATGGGCCGTTCTTCCTAGGCCGTGGCATCTCGTTCGTTGATATCCATTTTGCTCCATGGATGCTAAGGCTCACCCGTGTATTAAAACCCTACCGTGCGTGGCCTGATCCGGAAAGGGGCAGCAGATGGGCTGCGTGGATGGAAGCAGTGGAGTTAGATGAACATGTTATGGCCACTACGAGCGCCGATGATTTATACTTGGATAGCTACCAGAGATATGCAGGTGAGTAGGAACAATTCTTCCATTTCAGCCTCGTCAACTTGTTAACTAAAGTATATTGATTGTCTTACAGAAAACCGTCCAAACACATCCCAACTAGCGAATGCTATTAATGCCGGACACGATTTACCATGAGGGGGATGAATGCAGAAATTGAGGAGTTTAGAAGTGTGATATGACGGACCGCCATTTTGTATCACCAATCATTAGTCCCAACATGTATACCATTCTTTAACCAAGGTTTAGTATAGGCTGTAATGCCTTTATTCCGCTGTATAGAAGACGTGAAGTCGCCTCTTATTCAGCATCGCAATGTAATGCCCATTTGTGACAGTTCTTTAAACTCGTGGATGAAGAGGTGTCCGCCATGGGTTTCGCGCGTACCTCCCATCTCCAATCCAAAATTTGGGCCGCACGTATCTCGGCAGCCTATGTTCCGCCCGTACCTTTTTTCACCCATCATTGCAGGATGCGAGCTGTCGGTTTATATAGCCTTTTTTGGGTAATTCCCGTAGGGTATCTTCGCATAGACAGGACATTTTTGCTTCCCGGCGACTGGTAAATGCCCGACATGCCGATATGTCCAACGAGCAGCTTGAATGCCCGACCTGGTATTGGTGCATGATAAGTATTTCTCCATAATATGGAGCTGGATTGGACGCTACGTCAGTACTGACACCCGAGATACACCAGTGGGCTCGTCTCGGGTTGTTGCAGGTAAGACTTTGTATCGTGTGGATATCATCTGCACCCTTTATCAACCTCGTCCACCCCGTGATGGAAAACCACCAAATCCACCTCTGCCACTAGAATCTGGTCCTCTGGGGCTTCTGATGGGTGCTTGCAGTTGAGGAGATTGAGACTGCATATCTAGCTGTGGCTGTGAGGATGCTTCCCTACTAAATTCACCTACTGCGCGCTCTTTTTCCTTTCTCTGAACATAGTTCGAGTTTGTTCTTGGGGAGTAGTTTGGGTCGAACAGTCGGCCTTGTGTTTTGGGAGATGCATTGGCATTATCTCTGTCTCTTCGTTCTTTGTTTTCTCGATTGCCGCCGGTATTAGACCTGTTATTTCGTCCTCGTTTCTTTCCCTCACCACCTTGATGTTGTCCCTGGCGCGGCGGGGTGCCGTTGCCAGGAGATGATGCACCTGAGCCTGGAGTAGGGCTACCGAACAATCTCTCACGAACCTCTTCGTACTTGCGTTGCTTTTCCTCCCGTTCCTTTTGAGCTTTTGCGACTCGTTCTTCGTACGTTAATTGTCCAGGCTTTCTTTCAAAATCTTCATCGTCATCGTCATCCCCCTGACCTTGATCTTGTACTGACAGTCCCTGAATGCCTGATTCAAGTCCAGATCGGTTACTCTGGGGTTTGCGCGCAAGAACTTTCATGGGTACTTTGTATTCGGACTTCAAAGGAACCGTAGACCGAGACTCGAGGAAGTGGAACGTTTGCGGTGTTTCGCTACAAAAAAAAATTCTCTATTAGGCCCAGAGCAAGCAATAGTTCAAAAGATTGATAGGTATCTCACGCTTCGGCCCATAGCTGTCGGTTGAATTCGGCATGTTCTGCTCGGCGCTGGGCCTTTGCAGCTCTGGCGGACAGCTTTTTCTCAGGTACTGGTTCAGGAGCTTGCGATGGTTTCTATTTCGCAACCAATGGTCAGTATTGATAGTTCAATGATACAATAATACTATTGTTTAAAAAAAAGCTGATGGGTAGGGGCAATACATCTGCAATGGTCTCCCAGTCCGCGTCCCACGCATCCGGTATTTGATCTGTTCGATTCATGGTACAACTGGAGGGTATATAATAAACCTGAAAGTTATTATGCACCACAAGATCCCTTTCTATATGTTATATATCGCGGTGTATGATCCGACCAAAGGCCTTGCTGAAGATTCTCGTAAGCGGGGGGCACCGTAACAGCCGAAGGGGTAAAGGGCACTATGTTGCTGGGTTTATCCACAAAAGAAGGGATAATTGTAGTATTCAAAAGCAAATCAAGAGTCTAACGCTTGCAAAACGCCTGGTGAAAGAGTCACAAAATATGCGGTTTGTTTGCTGTCTTCGACTTTGTCAACTTTTCAAGTCTTTTTCGGCCATTAAAAAAAGTACGTGTCACGTGATACGTGTATCGATAACGATTTCAATGACGACGAAACGACGAGACGACGAAAGCTCGCAGAGACGACGTCACTATCAAACAGCTTACCTAGGAGACTGGAGAAAGTGAAACTGCTTTGTATTAACTGAAGAAGCCACTTTTCCCCGAAAGATAGACTATCCAAGATGGCAGGTAGGGGAAGTCACATTCCCTGGTTTACTAAGGAAGAAGCTGACCTTTATCTAGACGACTTTGACTCCGAGATGCTCTCTTCGACTTCATCGTCTCCCACCCCAGGAAGCCCCCAGACGCCGGCGGGAGGTAATGGGACAGCCAGGAACAGTATACCAGCAATGCCAGAGCTGTCACCACCGGGGTCTCACGGACCTGCGACTCGAGAAGTAGCCATGACGGGCTTTAACGAGAATCTCAAGGACTCCGCTCCATTAACCAGCATCTCTGAGAAAAACGACGAGGAAACCGAAGATTCTACGAGTAATTTGCCAGCAGTACTGCGAGAGGAACCTGGCGCATCGTGGATGAACAAGAAGGCGGACGAAGAAGCGAAGAGGGCACTCGAGTTCGTTGTAGACAAGGACTTCAGCCTCAGTACGTTTACCCGGATGTCTTTTTGCTTTCAGTATCCCGCCGTAATTGGTCCATCGAAGACGTTTAGATTTACTAACGGTTTTCTGGCAATAGGAGAGTTTGGAGACCCGTTTGATGATAGAGGTGTAGGCCGATGGAAGACGAAATGATAAGCACAGCATCATGACAACGAATGAATGACCCTTTTTCACTTTCTACGACATGACACGAGGCACATTGGAGCGGTTAAACAGATGCAAAGTGCATGAATAATACTCCGTAGCTGGCGTCGAGATAGTTCGATATGAGAAACTGTGGCTTGTGATGGGGGGCCTTGGTTGGCACGGCAACGGGCTACTAGCAGGGGGTGACAACATCATCATGGAGAAGCAAAGGAGGAAGAAAAAAAAAAGAAAACGCGCCAAACCATCCAGGCCGATGACTGAATTAGTTCAGAATAACAAACATCCTATCTTCAGTTTCCTATCACATTCATTACTGTGGACTTGGTCTTTCATCATCGACTACGGAGTACATGTTATTATACACATCCTCCCTTTACACCACTCCTAAAGCCAGCCAGCTTGTTTACAGATAACCAGAACAAGCAGCCCCTTTACCTGCGGAATTGCCATTAACAGCGAATATCTATCACTATAGCGAATCGCTATTCTGAAGGCTATATCTATTTCCATCATTGTGCAAACAGTACAAAATGCGTTCTCCAAGAAGGTACCTAACGCTTCCACAAGCTTCAAAATTCACTGGGCTTCTCTGCCTCAGGCGCAGGCTCAGATTCACCTTCGCAACCATCCCTCACTCATGCAAAGACACGTCGACAGCAAGTGAAAATCTAATAATAACTAAATTCACGCCGTAGGAAGAATCGCTTGTTCGATCACGACCGCTTTAGGTTCACTCCGGAGGCAACGTCGAAGAAACCAACCCGCCTCTGGGACCGCAAGCCAACAACGCCTGTCCTCCCACGGTCCAAGACACAGAAGATCTGGAAGAGGTGTACCGATTCTACGTCATTAGAAGTGAACAGCATGCACGACACGGATGCGTTTTCTACAGAGATCAACTTGGCCGCGACTCTGGCCGCGCTACGTGGCGTGAAGAGGTTGCGACTGGCGCATACCCCAGAGTGTGAGCGTGGACGGTCGTTTTTGGAGACAAAATGGGAAGCGCAGACGGAAGACCGACGACGTGAGTGGCCTATTATCATTGCGCTTGCTGCGACTATCTTCGCTGGGATGACTTGATGATGGAGGGTACTGATTTGTTGTCATGTAGGAAAATACGTTGCGCCAGCGGAGAGCGCGCAAACAACGGCATCGGTCGACTTCCTACTTCGAGCGAAGGGTGGGACCGAGGGTGTTGAGGTGTCCGATGAAGAGCAGGTTCATTGTAGTAGCTCTTACAACGAACCCAGAGACATTCCTCAGCCGGAGGAGACTGCACAGGAGGTCAGAACAATGCCAGGAGAAGTCAACCAGGAGAAACCGAACACAGTCCGCACAGAATGCCAGCCAGATGATGGCAGAGAACCCGAAGAAGAGACCTTCTTTGATGCCGTAGCGGAACCCATGGCCGTCGTGCCGGAGCAAGGGGCTATCCCGCTCCAGGTCTCACCAGTGCGGAAGATAGCTATTCTCGACGGCGATGATGCAGAGGTTATTTCTGACTTCCTATCCAAGGCACGGGCTAAGAGAGCTGCCAATACGCCGGTGAAGAAAGATGCTAGTGTTGACCGGCTGCCAGAATCACCAACTCCCACTGCACGACGCATACTGGAAGCTGTGGACGGGAACTCACCTCGTTCGCATAGACGACAATTGCCTCCTGAGAAGCTACAGCTTCCTGACTTTTGTTTTAACCGACGGTCGCCCCGCATTGTTGCGTCCAAATCAACGGACCAAAAACCACCGTTCGAAAACGTCTGGGATGGCTCAATTGCACCCAGCTCTCCTGTTGTTGAAGTAACGGTTGAGCATGCCCGGCATCCGCCCAGGGTCCCGGACCAGATCCCAACACGCCGCCGAAAGGGCACTGAGTTCGTTTTTATGCAGCGAACAGACGACCAGCAGACAGCCATTCTGACCAAGGCGAACACGAGACTGAACAAGGGCAGCAAACCCCCACACAAATTGTTGCCAATTCTCAATAAAGCCATTGCAGCGCTGGGGACGGATCCAGAAGATGACCAGCATCAACACCGAGACCTGTCAAAGAAACAAGTCAGATGGAACGACGCGGCTCTAGTCGAGTACTGTGGGGAGAAGAAGGTCCCCGAGTTTGACTTGGAGGTTTACCAGAACTCGGAGGCAATCGAGCGGAACCTTCGTTCATCCAGCAGACGGAACAACAATACGAGCAAAAATGAAGAGCATCCGCCTGAAGCGACGGAAAGCTACAACAAACAAGGTGATCAACCGGCTCCATTTCTTGCACCTATCGTAAAGATGCCCGCTCCAGCAACCCCATACCGCTCCACTCCCATGCCGAGAAAAATGCGGAAACTGGTGGGCGCAAAACACCTTGACGTTCACCCTAACGAAGGGGAAAGCCCGCCAGTCACCCGCATCAACTTGTCTATGAAGACTGCGGGGGTGTTCCCTGGCACTCCGCTCCGACACAAGAAGACGTTCTCGTTGGCCCAGGGGGTTCCGCGGACTCTTTCACTAAAGCCGACGAAATCAACCACGTCAACCTCATCAGCATCGATGACTTCCGGATCTGGATCGGGATCTGGCTTAGGATCCGGCCTTGGCTACCCAACCGTGCTACTCAGGAAGCAAACGAAATCATAGCAATGCGTCGTACGGCGTACCAGGAGTCGCGAGAGCCGTAATAGGGAAAAGAAAGAAGAAAGGACTATTTTATCTTGATGGGGGGAGGATTAAACTTGAGTTAAAGAGGGCTGAGCAGGGCAGTGCGATACCGAATTCATTCCATCTTGGCTTCTTTGTTTGATTCTCTCATCAGGGCATTCGGATTCAGGGTTTGATTTGGTGTTACGATCAAGCATTGGCGCGTTTTTCGTGAGAGACAGCTAATTGATCCCTCGGGCAGGGGGAGGAGTTATGGGGGTTTTTGATAACTTTTTGATACCAGGACAAATTGCAGACATTGAGACCACATTAATAATTCAGATACCTTTTTATCACTTCTATTTTTCCTTAAACCAATTGTCTAGAAGAGGTTATCTCTTCTAGATCTATTCTCTCTCTATCAAACGGAGTACTCCAGACTGACGTCGTTGACAGCGAGGGTAACACAGCCCCGTATACCCTGTACGCCCATTACTGATCCCTGGTGGCCATGTGCTTTGTTTTTCTCGAGAAAGCAGCGCCTTGCCATGGCTACTTTGACTTGGTGACACGTCAGTTTGCACGCTATGACGCAGGAGGCACAAGCCGATCCTATCACGGCGAACCATAGCAATATCGTGGATTGAAGGTTGTCACGAGGCCGTCAGGTACCCGGCTATACATCTGGAACAAGACAAACGGGAAAAGGGACAGGTGCAGTCAAGCTCAGCTGCCGGCTCCAAAGCACTATCATGTAACTAGCCGTAGACAGTGAATAGCCAGGCAGGTGGTAGTGAGGAGGTCGATTTTATTGATCTTGGCTTGCAGAGAGCCAAGGTCCTAGTCGAGCGATCCGGGGGGTTCCAAGGAGTAACTATACAAGGAGGGTACTCCGTAAGCGCAGAGATGCAGGGTTTGGCCGGTCGACATCGAAATTCGCCTTTACCCTGGTAACACTGCAGGCTCAATATGGTACCGAGCAGTATCTGATATCAACATCTGAAGAGATTCTCCCGATGTTTTTCCTTCCAACAAAGACGTGAAGATGGAAAAGATAAAATTAAAATAGCTAGGGCTAGACCGGGTCATGTGACAAAGCTTGGTCTCCCGCAGTCCCAAAAAAGTCAATTTCCACAGAAACAAAAACAAAGGCGAGAGAAGAAGATGGAGAAGGTTTCCACTCGTTATTGTACTATCTTTTTCCAGCTAAACCAAGTCTCACGGTGTCTACTCCGTACGGCCTCAGCATATCCACTTGCATGTCTTCTCACCTTCTTCTGCTTCTCCCACTTGATCCTTTCTCTGCTCTGCTTCCGCCAACTATGACGAGATACGTATTATGTCATCCAAACCGGCGGAGTGGGCCGCCTCCCGATCAGGACTAGCGTGACCCTGCGGTTAATTAGAGTTTTACACCAGAAGTGCGCCCGCCGTACCAGCCGGTAATTTTTGTTACGTTGCGCTCGGCGGCTCTTGGGGGGTGGTGGTTCGCTGCAGCATAAGCCGCCGACAAAGGGCCAGGCAGAAGGGCTAGCTTGACGAGGACGGCGCAGACAGGCAATAGTCTGCGCAGGCAGTGCCGAGAGCGGTGTGACTTTCTCTCTGGCGCTGTGCTATGCCGGTGCAGGCTGTAGTCGCTGGAGATAGTTCGGCGTTATGGGAGTGACGGTACGGGGACGGCCTCAGGCGTGTCAGGTGACGCCCAAAAGCTCCCTCCACTATGCGACCTTGGCCGTTTTTCTTCTTCTTCTCCTCCTGCGAGATGACACTTCATCTTCTTCCACTGCAACTCCAGGCATCCTCGTCTTCTTCTTCTTCTTCTTCTTCCTCTTCTTTCACTTCGTCTTTTTACTGATCATCTTCTGCCTGGCCTTCTATTTACTCTACCGTCTGTTCTAATACAATATCCTGTACGTCTGCTTACTTTATCAGGTACTTCCAAGTCAGTCGCCTCCTTGCCAGAGGATCAGATCCTCTCGCCTCAACCTCTTCCTCCGCTTCCGCTTCCTCCCTGTCTCTGCCCCCCTATACCTCTGCATATACGTCTCCTGTTTGTCCGTGGGATAGCAATAAGGCACTGCACCGGCTTGGCTCGGAGGTCGTGTATAGATAGACAGTTCGAGAAAGACGCGGTCCAGACAACCCAAGAGAACCACAACCAACCAACAAAAGAGAGAGAAAGAGAAAGAGAGAGAGAGAGAGAGAGAGAAGAGAGCGTCAGTCTCGCAGATATATTGGGAGAGTCTCCAGTTGTCCTCCGTCTCCGTGTCCATCTCTGCCTACTTGGTGTGCTGTGTTGCCTGCTGCTGGACTCTTCGCTCGTATCTGTACCTTCCTGTTGCCTCTTCCTATCCTGTTATTATTACTCTTCTCTCTGTTGTCAGGTTGATACTGCAAAGCAAAGAAAAAGATCAATCTATCAAGAAGAAAGTGGACAGCAAAAGGAAAACGAAAAGACAAGAAACAAAACCTAGTAGCTGTTCTGCTTTTTCATCTCTGTTCTCTGCTCTTGTTCTGCCCTTCTTTTTGCGGCCAAATTCTACTACACAAGCCAAAAAGCCACAATCAACACCAACAACCGCCACTCCAGCTCAAGCTACCTGCCAAAGAAAAGAAAGAAATCAAACAGAAAATCAAGAAAAACAAGAAGAAGCGGTACTAATCATCATTATCTGGAGCTATAGACCGGGCCGGCACATAGAAAACTATTACCATCCAGTATACTCTCCCGTACCATAGCATGACTCCCTCTGACCTCGCCCACCAGCCCAGCCCTCACCCTCCCGCGCTGCCCGTCTCTGCCCTTGACCAGGATAATGATATCGATATTCCCGATGCCGATGATGTGGAAGATATCAAGATAGCAGCCGCTCACAAGAGGCAGGACTCCTTCAGCTCCCAGGCTCGCTCCCACTCTCGCTCCAGCAGCATCGGAGGTGCCTCGTTTGGCTCCATCGAGGAAGACAACACCGGTACATCTCCTTTCTGTGTCGTTGTTTAAGAATTTGGTCATATACATATCCGCGGAGTCCACGCTAATTCGATCATGATACGTGTGCAGGAATCGCTCAGTCCTTTGTTGATACCAAGGAAAGCAACTCTTCCGGTGACAAGACGCATGCCGCTGACTGTTCAGCTAGCAAGGCCAAAGAGCTCAAGGCTCCCATCCCCGATTTCTGCTGCCCCTGTGGAACCTTTCGAGGATGGAAACAGATTCGTCTCGGTGGGAGAAAGCTGAGCAGAAGCTACAGCGACCTTCGTCTGCTTGGAGGAACTCAGGCCAGAGGATGGGCATGGGAAGAAGAAGCCCCTAATCCGGAACCGCCAAAGGCGCAACAACAGCAACAACAAAATGAGGACCAAGAAGAAGTGCTGGAATTGCGTCGTCCTGCTCCCAGGGTGACCAAGAGAGCCTGTCTGGAGAGACTGCCGGTTGAGATACTGGATGAAATTATATCACACCTGGCTCTGGATATTCCACCAAACGGGTATACCCCCCGAAATGTCGATTTGATATCCTGCCTGTTGACCTGTCGAACTCTGCACTCGGCTACCCTAGGAGTGCTGTACAGACACATCACCATTCCCCACTCCATCATCTTTTCCAAGGCTCTTAACCATATCCGCCAGTATCCCTCTCTAGGCACTATTGTCAGACGACTGGACTTTTCACACTTTACCTCTGTTGGCCTCGGACGCACTCAGCAGATGAACGTTGAAATCCAGAACCTCACTGCAAAGACTCTGCTCCAGTGCCTTGACCTACTGCCAAATCTCAAGGAGCTGCTTCTTCAGGAACATGTCGAGGACGACGTGGACGGAGATGTTGTGCGCAAGATCTTCATCACCAAGACTCTTCTCCGTGCAATTGACTTCTGTGGCTGCTCTTCTGCCAAATTCTCCTCTGGTTTCCTCAGTGCTGTCACGCAGGAGCCCGAATTTCCCAGTGTTCTCCCAAATCTCCGTCGTATATCCCTTCACGAATGTACTGGGCTACCCGACGAGGCCTTCCAGTCTCTTCTTCCCCGTCTTATCAATCTCACTCATCTTGACGTTGCTCATACCCAGATCAGCAATAGTACCCTATTCCTGATCCCGTACACTGCTCGGCTCACCCATCTCAACATCTCGCGATGCACCAAACTCACCGGTCCAGAGGTTGTCCGGTTCCTCTCTACCCACCCGGCAGTAACCTCTTCTCTGGTCTACCTCAATCTCATGGTCGACGCTTCTCGTCATCGTATCCTCGAGGAGGCGGATGTACCAAATCTCCTACCACACCTGAAATCCACCCTCCGCTCTCTCAACCTGGGAGGAGCCCGTATCACCTCCGCACACATGCCCGACCTCCTCAGGCTCTCCAAGCATGTCGAGGAATTAGGCCTGTCCTCTGCAGACCTCACTCTCGACGACATCAACTCCTTCTTTGCCCCTCCGCCATCTTCAGCAACTGGCTCATCCAACGCGACTCCCTGGCAGCCCTCTCATCTCCGCTACCTCGACCTCACTCGTAACCCATACTTGAATCAAGCTGCCCTCTTCAACTCCAAGTCTTGTTTGCTGGTGACTCCCCAGAGCTACCCACTACTTGTCATCGAGATGAGCGAGCGTATCATCGCCCCGCTGCGTTCTCGCAGCAAGTCCAACAACAATCGTAGCGGATGGGTTGTCCGCGAACTCGGTAGGCGAGGCTGGTATGTTCGCGAACCCAGCGGTGATCCCTCTATGCCTGTTGATGACGGCCAGAGAAGCTGGAAGATGGGCGCACATTGGTGGGGAACCCGCAAGATCCCTGTCTCTGTGGGCGACGTCGGCGGCATCTATGGACACTACATGTTCAAGAAGTGATTAACCAAACTCCGTCTTATCCAAATCATGACAAACAACATAACATAATATTGGAAGAAAAATGAGAATCAAACCATCAAAAAAAGTGTCTGGGTTTACCTATGGTTCCAGGAGCAAGCGAAATGGAGTTTGTCAGTTATTTGTCTTTCTTCTTTCCTCCTCTACTCTTATTTTTTCCCCCATGCATGCTTTTGCCTCTTGTCTGAATATCCCTCTTTCCTGTGCTCCTATTGTATCATTTTTCTGCATGACAGATGTGTATAATGGTGTATCATGGGCATTGTGGTTTTGAGTTCATGATATCCCTATAGTTATTCTGTATCTCTACTCCGCTTGCTTTGACTGTTTCTTATTATTCCTTTGTTCTTACTTGTCGTTCTTATCTCAAATTAATCAGGATATTTACTTAAGTCTATATCCCTCCATCCTCGGATTAAAAGAAAAAAAAAATTGTGTCAAAAGACAGGTATCATTGCTAATCATATCATACGTACATACTTCAACTATCTAAGAATATACAGAAGCGTACACGTTCAGTCTCCGTACTGAACAGTATATTCTATATTTTTCTTGATAATTAACTTGGTTTTATCATCGTTCCAATCCCCCTCGGGATTCGCTTCTGTCCTATCTCCTCCCCCCGCAGTAATAGCGGTAGTTATTGTTGTTGCCGCCGCAGCCGGCGGGTCGATAATTGTGTCTGACGCCATGGGGCCAGGCCCATGTATCATCCCAGCTCCAGGGACAGAGCCGTGAGAATCCATGGACCCAGAACCCCCTTTCTCGCCCCTATGTAGGAATGGCACTCGGACTCCACGACTTGAGGTGCGTGTATGGGTATTTTTGGGTATTTGATTATGTGGGAGCGACGGCACTGGTGGTGCATTCCCGTTTATGGATGTCATTTCATGATGTTCGTCCGATGATTTCAGACGTTGATGTTGTGCTGTAGGTGACGTTGGAGAGAAGAGTGAAAATCGAGGAAAAGAGTGCTGGCTGGACTTAGCCTCCTTGCCCGCTAATGATCGGGATAAAGATGTAGAAAGTTGAGTCTTTCGTGGTTTTTGCTTCTTCAGACCGTGTTGTGAGCTGGTGCCTGTGTAAGGCCTGGAGAAACTTTGCTCTTTCGATCTCGATGTGTATGTACCACTTTCAAGATCGCGAGAGTAGCTGTTGTCAACAGTACTTCCGTTGCTGTTATTTTTGGAGTTTTGTAGCGATTGGTCGCCTGCTGTGCCGTAGTTTGTGCTTACGGCTGCTGTGAATGGCTTGAGTGCGAAGATGGTGCAGGCGATCACATTGTAGTTCAGACTGATTTGGGTCCAGACTGATGAATCGATTAAATCCAGAGTGAGATTCGTTTGTTCACCGCATATGTCAAGGTAATGAAGCCGTATTATGGCTAGAGCTATTATTCTATGGGGGTGTGCATTAGTTTTAACTAGTCAGATCCTCGAATTGCACTGTTCTAGATGAAACTCACGGTAATCGGGCAGCAAAGGCGCTGAGGACCACGATTTTTGTCCGAAATCGCATTTGAAGCTCTCTGATGAGGTGGACAGCAAGAAAAAATATTATCACTTCCGACAAAACATCAAAGGAGACGATGAATCGCCATTTGACAAGCTTGAGTAGATATGTCAGCCTTTACTATGCATATTTAGACACTAAATCGAGGGAAGCTTACCTTGAGTTTGCAATAGGAGACGCTAACGGCCCTGACGGTGTGCGTATCTAGAATACCACTCCTAATACCGACTGCCATGATTGAGCCAATAATCCATAGTGTACAGTAAACAAGTGTTCCCAAGGTAGCACGGTTATGTGTTTTCTTGGGAGTCAATTTGAGAAATATGCAAATAACACAACATTTTGCAAGGTAAAGAGTAACGAGATATAGAATCTCGCTGGAGAAAAATGCCTAATAAAGAGTAAGCCGGAGTTCTCGCAGAGGCCGTATGGCTATATCAGGAGTAGCTACTTACCCGTCGCAAGGTCACTAGATTGTCGTGACTTATTAGGTCGGCGGATGTGCCAAACCCCTTGGATACGGAGACGAATATTAATATAGACTGACACAAAGCGACAAACTAGAAGTCCGTATGTAAGTAAGGATCGCAGTACTAATAATTGTCGTAGAGTAAGTACTTACTGCTGAACCTAGTAGAAAATAGTCATCTCGCCCATAATGTGGGTTGATGGCGAGATGAATGTACAGTCTGATCAGTAGACCGGTCAAGGTGACGGCACCTGCGATCGCACCAGCAATGACGACCAGGGACCCTCGGTGAGTAGAGTCAAGCGGTAGAAGAGGCGGGGACTGGTAGGGTAGTAGAGCCATCGTAGTCGCTGATAGTGGATCACTGGCGACTAGGAGGGGTCGCAAACGATATCCGAGCAGGAAAGTCGCTTGTTGAATGTCTTAAACGAAACACGCATTCCCCTCCAAGACAAAGATCAGAGAGAATCAAGACGAGCTATCCATCCCGAGGAAAGGAAGCATGAAGGAAGCGAGAATATAACAAGCGTCAAAGGTACGAGCAACAAAACATATCTCGTCTGGTCGTGCCTCGCAAGCGTATGACTATAGATCTGAGAATCGAAAATCGGGAGGGAAAGGGGAGAAAACTAGAGGGCTAGGTTCCGTGATCCGTATATATGTATACCAGCGCATGCGACACATGCAGCCCATACACCCTTGGTATGGTCATCATGCTCCAGGTAAGAGTTGCACAAAGAATGAAAAAAAGGCGAAAACCGTAATGCCGGATCGTCTTCCGGGCTAGTTACGATAGCCAGTTAACGGGAGGTATGCAAGCCGAGGCAGATCCTGGTCCTTGGGCAGTTCTATTTTTGTTTTTTTCTCCGAGCTCTTTATTTTCTTTTGAGAAGAGGAGAGTCTTATTTTAGGGGGTGACGAGAGTGATATCCTGCTTGACCTCCCCGTCGAGAGAGCGACTATCAACAAGATAGCGACAGGGGGGAGCGGCACTAAACTGTAGCGGTCACTAGTGGATCCCTTGGCGGCAAAGCGGGAGGTGGGCCTAATGGACAGAGCTTAGGTTTGATGACTCATCCTGATCCCTGGGTCGTTTTATCGGGGCCCTGAACCTAAAGCCGACGTCCGTTCTTTTTTCTCGCGTAGGCACATCAACTAAACACCGTCAGCTCTGCATCGTTGACGCTTGAAAATCAAGATGGATATTAACGTGCTGCATAAGGGAAAAAGCAAGGGGAGAGGGGCTGAAAAGCGAGAGCCGGACGGCAGTTGGACGACAGGTCGATGGCCGCGTATCGTTATTTCTGATGGGTTCGATTCCTGCCCCAGACTCACCTGATCCCTGGGTTTTGCTTTTGCTCTGCAGTGTAACCAGCCTCTCATTCGTGGGGCTTTGTGGTCTATCTCCTGTGCCTCGCAGCCATTAATTTTTGCCGCTCTCACCTGCTTCTTCCTCTGTCTGCCAGCTCTGCGCTTCCACCTCCCACATCCTCAGCGCCTGACGTGCGATTCCCCTTGTTATCGTCGTGGTCCAAGAAGGGAACTCTCTCCGGACTATTAAAACCTTAGTTTTGCTAGAGTTCCGTTCCATGTACTCTGTAGACAAAGCAGACTCGATGTTGCGTCTGGATAATATATAAAATGCAAAATAAACATCCATACTCAAACACCCATGAGGTTCTTTATATTAGTACGAAGACATGGAGAATCCCTGCCATGTATCTGCACTCCACCACGATATAACGTGCAGCTTGTGTGTGTGCCCAGAAACCCGGAACAGGAAAACAAGGGGCGGCTTAAACAGCCTGGGGTGCCTTGCGGGCTGCTCAAGTAGCAGTCATATTCCATAGCCGCGTTTTCCTCCTTGCGCTTCTGAAATGGACTTGCTATTGTCGAAAAACCAAGGCTATCTCCTACTATTACCCTGTGCCTGCGAGCCTCTTCCATTTGCGGCCTAGCAAGAAGCATTCACATGCTTGGTCTCCTGCTAGTTTTATAAGGTTATTTAAGGTAGGAAAAATATGCCTCAGGCTTCCATCAGTCCCTTGAATGCTGAGCTGGGATTTAGTATTGGTCGAGCCGTTATCTGTAAGCCAGACTGGATACTGCCTGGTGGAAAGACTTGTTGTCAATCCTTGGTCATCGATTGGTGTCAGCCAGCATGCCATCTTCCAGTCATGGGAAGAGGTTTTTCTGGGATTCCCAGTATCTGAGCTAGCTTAGCACACCGCCTGCATAAGTCTCTCTGCAGACAACCGGTTTAGCCTCTCCATGCGGTGTACGGAGTACAACAGAGTACTTTTGGTTCAAATCCTGGTTCAGACATAGTGTTCCGTTATTTCACAGATACTCCGTAGATTCCCTGGTATTAAGACTGCGAGTGAGTCTCGATGGGTACTCCGTACACGGGACCCTTATCTCGCCTAGAGAAAGGTGATAGATTCGAATAACACGCTCAGGCAAAGTCTGTATGGAGAACTTGGGATCTGTCACCTACAAAGGGTTCAACCGCAATAGTTTCTCATCCCTTGGCTCTCGGAGGCTCAAGACCCAGAGGGGTCGACCCTGAAAATCGCTGTCTCTCCTCGTGGATTGGATCTAGAAACATTCTTGGGAGAGGCAATTTAATGTTTGTGAGCTCGCATGTTTCTTTAACAGGTCTAGAATACCGAATCGTAGCGGAGTCAGTCAATCCTCTGTCGTCGTTCTCGAGTCGAGAAGACGAAGCTTTCCATGCTGGGGCGATTGAGATGAGATGAGCGTAATATTGTGTATTGCGATATACGATGTATATATCTTATTCGGACCTTCTATTGGCCTAAAGTCTGTATTCATTACTTAGTCATCAATACCATACACTCTGTAATTATCACGGGCTCAGCGAGCAACATCAACGACACAACCACATTCCAACCATGTCACGGCAACGGAGGAACAGCCTGGAGGGGCCATTTCGTCGCTCCGTTTGACCATGCGAGAGGATGATATCGGTATGGATAACGTGTGCAGGGTTTTCCTATTATCGCACAAGGCCGTTAGAGTTTCCAGGGTTATTTGGCTCGAATAAAGACTTCTCGCATAGCTACGAATAAACAGCCATCCGACCAGTCGCACCGCATCCCCCGAACAAGATTCTTTGTCCCACAGCTGGCCCAGCCGCGGGATGGAGAAAAAAGAGCAAGGGGGCAAGGAGCGCGGATGCAGACATCCGTTATGCGCACGGGACGGGACTCCCAGCGCTATGGTGTGTGATGGCCCAGGGTGGCCATCAGGGGGGGCAAAGGGCTTAAGTTGGCTTCGTGGCGGTTGACAAGGACGCCTTCTGTCCTTTGGGCAGAGGACTGATCAGATCTGATCGACGCTTGGCTCGGCTCCCGGTTGGCCATGATGCCTCACTCAATTACTCTGATTAGGGGGCAAGGGTCAAGATAGTCGAAAACCCATTTTCTTTCCGCCGGGTCCAGCTCGTGTTTGGCCGGTGAATCCTGCGGACGGGCGCCAGGTGGAAAGCCTGAGAGCGTGCGCTTTGAGAGCTCTGATATCGCTTAGCCAACGCTGTCAATAGTTCATGGCGTACCGAGCGCTGTGCAGAGTGCTATTTTCGTCTCCCAGTGGCTAAACTCCTGGCCTGGGCCGGTGAGAAACAGAGACTTGGCTCTTCAGCCGGGCTTCGTGTCTTTGCCATGCAACAAATCGACTCTGGGATCAGCCATTCCACAGGCACCCCTAGTATGCGCAACGAGTTTATTTCCTTGCATGGGCTGGGACCCTCGAGGGATACCCGCGTCGTCGTTATGCTTCCTCTTTCCTTTTTCCATCCCTTCTCTTCCCCCCCCCCATCCCTTAGTTTGGAAAATAACTATTCCAGCCCACGATATTAACATAGTGCTATACCTCGTAACATTATTTTTAAGAGAGGTCATTTCGCCCCGTGCTGCCTGTGTCCCCATTATTGAACTTACGATGGTGTTAATATTGGGCAGGTTTTTCTTCTTTTCCTGTCAATGTTGCAGGTTTTCCACGTTGTTCAAAATTTCCGATCTTCGCCCTCTTTTTCATCCATCATCATTGTGATTTCATTCCTTCGCAACCTCCAGTTCCCCAACCACTCGCTCCCTTGCTCCGTCCTTCCAGTCTGACGGTTACCTTACCCATCCCCGTCTTTGAGGGTCCAACGGCTAAAACTCTATTCTGCTCCCACCCTTTGCCCCGGAAGCTGTGAATATCAATCAGTTCAGGGAGAGATATCTTGCTGTATCTGGACATCCCAGACAGACCTAAGCAAAGATGTCTTCCGACTCTATTTCGACAAAGCGGTTGAAGAGCGCTGAGGAGAGCGTTGGACATCCAGAGGAAGCCTTCACGTATGACGAACAGCATCAGCATGTGCCAGCCAAGTATATGGGCACGTCTCGAGATCGAGATGATATGTGCCAGCTGGGAAAGACACAGGTCTTGAGAGTAAGTCTCCTTTGCATTCATACATTGACTGTTTTCTCCAGAAACCAAAATTAATCTGCCATCCTTATTATAGAGAAATTTCCGTTTTGTTTCTATTCTCGGATTCGCATGTACGCTGATTGCAACCTGGGAGGTGGTGTTAAGGTACGGTTTGCTATTCTTCAGAGCTCTCTTCATTCAATTTTACAGCTTGGATAAATAACTGACAAGAATAGTCTTCTCGGATTTGCTTTACTTGACGGAGGCACGGCTGGTCTTATTTGGGGGTTTCTAGCTGTCTCGTGCGGCTTCTCACTGGTATTCGCAAGTCTTGCAGAGATAGCTTCAATGTGAGTTCTCTCTGTTGCTCCTGTTTTACGCCCTTGCATCATGCTGACTGCAATCAGGTCCCCTACGGCTGGTGGTCAGTATCACTGGGTTTCCGAGTTCGCCCCACCGAGCTGCCAAAAATATCTTAGCTATATCACAGGTAAGAGCCTCATTTTACACCTTATGTCTCCGTTCTATCTTTCCTAAGAAATGACCGCAGGCTGGTTATGCTCGACCGGATGGCAGTGCGCTATCGTTACAATTGCATTTTTGGCCGGAACGATTATCCAGGGCCTGTTGGTATTAAATCTACCAGAGTACATTCCCCAGCGCTGGCATGGCACGATGTTGGTCATTGCCATCTCAGCATTTTCGATCATATTTAACACTTTCCTTGCGAAGAAGCTCCCCTTGGTAGAGGCTCTTCTTCTCTTGCTTCACATAATCGGTATAATTGCAATCATTGTACCACTCGTGGTACTTGCTCCCCGCAGTAGCGCCGAAGTTGTTTTCACGAAATTCAATAACGGCGGAGGATGGAGTACTGCAGGGGTCGCGGTCATGGTTGGGCTGCCCCCAGCCATTGCGTCGATGATAGGCTATGACTGTGCAGTGCACATGGGTACGTACACTTCTTCATGCAAGAAACCCTGCAATAGCTGCCTTATCCCTCGGACAACTTGCTGATATGTTATACCTTCCCTTTACGCTATAGCCGAGGAAATCAAAGATGCATCGAAAACACTTCCCCAAGCCATGATGAGTGCTGTGGGAGTCAATTTCGTTCTAGGCCTGGCTGTTATTCTCACCATATGCTTTACCGCCGGAGATATCGATGCAGTCCTTGCAAGTCCAACAGGATTCCCGTTTATCCAGATATTCTTCAACGCTACCAACAGTCATGCAGCAACCAATGCCATGACATCGATCGTCGTCATTACACTCGTTGCAAGCACTATCACCGAAGTGGCAACTGCTTCCAGACAGACTTGGTCATTTGCCAGGGATAGGGGGGTGCCATTTGCTGATTTTCTGTCCCACGTAAGTAAAACAAAAAATCTAATTACCCCGTTAACGTTCTGCATGGCTACCCAGATTTTTAATTGTCTGTTCCCTGCTGACATGCTACAATTAATAACCAGGTCAATCCATCATGGAACATTCCTCTTCACGCCGTGATAGTCTCGCTGGTTGTGACTATCTTACTGGCACTAATCAACGTTGGCTCAACTACCGCCCTAAATGCCATTACTTCTCTGACAGTCGCCTCCTTGATGAGTGCGTATCTGATCTCCATCGGGTGCATTTTGCTCAAACGCATTCGCGGTGAAGCACTCCCTTCCCGGCGCTGGTCTCTTGGCAAATATGGAGGGTTCATCAACGCTGCAGCGATGCTGTTCCTCCTCCCGCTGTTTATATTCTCCTTCTTCCCATTAACTAAGGAAGTAAACGCCACGACGATGAACTGGAGCTCGGTCATCTACGTGTCAGTCATCTTGTTTGCGACCGTCTACTACTTCGCTTATGGCAAGAAGACATATGTTCCTCCAAGCTCTCTTGTGAGGAGGCCTTTCAAGCCCTGAGGTCGCACGATGGCTGGTATCTGTGTTTTGCATTTCTATTCTTTTCCCCCTTTCCACTTTTTCTCCTCTCTTAACATTCCCAATTCATATATACTTGGGTATCCCGAAATCGGCAATTCGGGACGGCGAAGGTGGCTTGTTTTGCGACTTTATTCTTTCCTCTTTGACTCTTTTACCCCTTTCTTGTTGTACCTATATAAAACGGGCGCTCTTGGTTTTGTGGTTCGAGCGGGAACTATATAAAACTCGCCCGTTGGCTCCCCCATTCATTAAGCTGAATATCAAATGAAAACAAAGCAAAAAATCACAAAAAGAAATACAACGGCTCCAGTTATTATAGTTTACGGCTAAAATAATACGGATTGCTCCTCTTAGCACAAGGAGCAGCATTGTAAGACCCAGCGCAGGTTGGGGGATATGCCTGGAGCTTCGATCAAGGGGGAAAGTATTTCCGCGGATTCTGCAGGATGGCGGAGCTGCCACGATAGCAGATTCCCACATGAGCTGCCATGGATGCAGGCCGGGGCTTCATGTTTCTGGAGCGTGGCCGGTGTTGTACAGCCATATGGAAGACTTTTGGCGTAATTGTGCACTGGGTCGGGGTGGATGTGATACATATACATATTATGCGAGGGTAGGACGGGATATCGAGCGAGAGTACCAACGTCGAATCAACGGCGTGCTTTTACAGGCTCTGGCCGCTCGCTATCTACATCTCCGGTTAGATGGCTGGTTTATAAGAAAGGGTTAGATGGCTGGTTTATAAGAAAGTACAAGGAATACCTTGGCTATTTTAGTTATGCTTTCCGCAGGGCCTGTTTTTCGCGGGGGTTGTGACGGGTTTATATGGGAATGCACCTCTATATATATGAGTTGGAGACAAGCCCCCTTTTTGACGAGAGCGAGATATCCAACGCACAGCAACACCACGCTATTCCCAGTCAGCCATCTCTGTTACTAGAGAAAGGGAAAGTGGGAGGCCATCGTCATGATTTACCTGCTCGCCATTCCCGTCCTCGCGGTCTGCGTGTACCGATATATCATCTACCCCATATACTTCTCGCCGCTGGCCCGGATCCCCAAAGCGCACTTCACTTCTCCGTTTCTTCCAACATGGCTATGGTGGATACGCAACTACCGCTGCCGTGAAGTATCGACCATCTATGCCTTGCACAAGAAGCTGGGACCGATCGTTCAGCTGGCCCCGAACGAAGTCAGCGTCAACTCGGCCAACGGGCTCAAGACCATATATCTCGGCGGGTTCCCCAAGGACAACTATTATGAAGACCTGTTCATGAACTATGAGCGATACCCTAACTTGGCCAGCATGCTATCCTTCAAGGCACACTCAGAGCAGAAGAGGATGGTGTCCCGAGTCTATTCAAAGTCTTTCATCCTAGCCTCGGAGGATCTGAGAGTCGCCTCTGAAAAGCTGATCTGGGAGAGATATCTGCCCATGTTTGAAAGAATTGCACTGCCATCGTCGTTCCCGTCTGATCATGAGGAGGAAAGACTGAAACTAGGCCCTGAAAAGACGCTGAACGTCTTCCCTCCTTTCCAGGCTGTGGGTATGGATTTTATGACAGCATATCTCTTCGGAATTGATGCTAGTACAGACTTCCTCCGTGACACCGAGTATCGAGACCGCTGGCTGAAGCTATATTCCGTGTTCAAGACACAGCTCCCAAAGCAACGAGCGTTTGGAGAGGTTGAGAACCTCTGCCTTAAGATGTGTGATCAAGTTGCGAGCCAATTGTCGTGCAAGGAGAAGGGGGCGGCCGAGCTCAAGACCGGTTCAACCAAGCCAGTGGTATACGGTCAACTCTTTAACGGCATATTTTCTCAGATCAACCCAGACAGTGATGCTGAAAAGGCTGATGCCAGGTTCCGAGTTGCCTCCGAAATGATGGACCATATAGTTGCCGGCCACGAAACAACCGGAATAACACTAACTTATATCGTCTATGAATTGTCGCAGAACCCTGAACTACAAGCAAAGCTACGAGAAGAACTGCTCACCTTGTCCCCTCCGATATTCTATAAACAAGACAGCACCTTGGAATCTTCCAACGCCGAAAAGGAAAAGGGCAGCAGACTCCCTTCATTCCATGCGCTGGATGAACTCCCCTTGCTTAATGGCATCGTGCATGAAACTCTTCGAGTATATCCTGCTGCACCGCTCCCATTACCTCGGGTTGTTCCCGCTGGTAAACCAGTAGAACTGGAAGGCTACCAGATACCCGCCGGCACCCGAGTAATGTCCTCCGCATACACACTGCACCGAAACCCAGAGGTATTCCCTGAGCCTGAGAGCTGGAAGCCCCATAGATGGATTGAAGCGGATAAAACGCACCTTGAAAAGATGCGACGACTCTTCTGGGCCTTTGGGAGCGGCGGAAGGATGTGTCTGGGAAGCAACTTTGCTCTTCAGGGTATGTATATTTTGAAAATTTCAATAATATGGCTATCGTCAATCCCCTCGTGTTCAAGGACCCTTGGCTGACCTACGTCTTTCTGTTTAAGACATCAAACTCGCCATTGCCGCACTTTACACGAACTATACTACCTTTGTCGTTGGAAACGATAGCATGGAACAAACTGAAACATTCATAGCACAGCCAGTCTCGGGGAAGCTGATCATTGGAGTCAAGCATGTTTAAGGCAAGAATATCTGTCACAGGTTGAGGACCGAGCTAGCTAGTTATGAGTAATGTGAATGAAGGAAGATTATCGTTAGTCAGTATAACATAATGTGCTTCGAAATGCAAGACAACGTCCATTATCGCCAGTAATTAAGGAACAGTCACGATTTGTCTAGCCTTCCTGTGAAACATCCACCCGGCCCTGTGCCGGATCAACGATAATCCCACAAACCGAACCATCAACAGGTGGGTGGTTTCTTTTGATAGAGAGCCATTTGGCAAACATTGTATAAACTCATAAAGCCTTGACTGGGTATACTTTATGGCTTCTATATTTTAAGCTCGTCTGGCTCCAGAAGTGGGAATGAAAGTTCGAGCTCATATCAGAATCTGCCGCCTGATTCTGCGTTGTGATTGGGTGGCTGGCCCAATATAAAGCTTGGCATAGAGGAGGCTCAAGTCGCCAGTCACGTGCAAGGCTGTTCCTTTTGTTAAACGCGGACGTCGATCTTGAAACGTC